TCAAATATGGCGGAGTGTACGCGGTAGCTGCGCCGATGCTTGTGGTGAACGATTTGGACATCATCAAAGACATTCTGATAAAAGACTTCAGCCACTTCTCTGACAGAGGAATCTACAACAACCCGAGCAGCGACAAAATGTCGTCGGCATTGTTCACTCAGGGCGGGCACAAATGGAAAACAATGCGCAGCAAGTTCACACCTACCTTCACTTCAGGAAAAATAAAGGCTATGTTCGATGCTATGAGCAGCAACGCCAAAAACATGATTGGTTTTCTTGATGGCCTTGAAAATAAGGAGGCGGTGAATATAAAGTATTTGGCGCAGGGTTATACGATCGATTTGATTGGCAGCACTGTGTTTGGTTTGGAGTGCGATAGCTTCAAAACGCCGGACACTATGTTCAGGGAAATGGCCAGAAAGATGTTGCAGGTTAATTTTACACTGGGAGCTAACCTGTGTTTGGCAATATACCACCCCAATTTGGCCAGGAAATTGGGCGTGTACCTCATCGATAAAGACGTCGCCAAGTTCTTCGCCACCGTGGCGAGAGACAATGTTCACTACAGGGAAAGCAACAACATCAGGAGGCCGGATTTGTTCCAGTCTTTGATCGATTTGAAGAATCTTGAAAACGCTGAAGAAAGCATCGGTATCGATGAAGTCGCTGCTCAGACTTTATCGTTCTTCTTCGCCGGTTTCGAAACGTCATCCTCGACGATTATGTTTTGTTTGTACGAGTTGGCGAGGAACCAGGAGATTCAGGAGAAAGTGAGGGAGGATGTCAGAAAAATGGTGCAGAAACATGATGGAGAAATTACGTACGATGGTATCAAAGAGATGAAATATTTGGGGCAAGTTATAGACGGTAAGACTTTAGAGTTCATTTATTTGTTATAGACGATTTTAGAAATTTGATTTAACCGTTAAAATAAAAAACTTCTTAAAAACAAAACCAATCTTGACTTTCCATGTTTTTATTAAGTTCCATCAGAACCATCGATGTTTAAATAAGGCAGGAAAGATTTTTCAACTAAAAATAATGTATACATCTTTTTGTCCTAGAAACTCTAAGGATGTATCCTTTGGTCTCGACTTTGACGCGTGTATGCACAAAAAATTACCAAATACACGGCACCGACGACGTCATAGAAAAAGGCACCAAAATTCTTATTTCAGCCGCCGGTATACACAAAGATTCAGACCTATGGGTCAACCCTCATGAATTTGATCCTGAAAGATTCAACGACGAAAACAAACAAAACATACATCCATGCGCGTATTTGCCGTTCGGAGAGGGGCCCAAAAATTGCATAGGTAACATTCGTTTATTTGTTAATGTTCTACAACTATAACTTTTTATTTTTTAGGAATGAGATTTGGATTGATGCAAATCAAAATTGGAATTGCTTCACTTTTGACGATTTATAGATTTCATTTGAGTCCTGAAACGAAGCAACCCTTGGAGTTTCAACCTGAATCATTCGTCCTAATAACTACAGATGATATAGTATTAAAATTAGAAAAATTGTAATTTATTATTGTTCCTTAAAGTTATGCATTACGTAAGATATATTTTATAAATACAATGCTCGATGTTTTACTTATAATACCAATGTAACCTGTAATATTATTATTATTATTAGCACGGTAAGGGAAATGTCAAACAAGAAAGCTCCGATTTCTGTTTGTTTGACGCCCTTCCAATAGCACTCCCAAACTAACAATTTACTCTGCACGACGCTACTTATCGTCAAGATTAACTTAAAAAAATTAAAGATTCTTAAAATATATTAAGTTTCGTTTGGTGGTTTGGCAGTTTGCAAAAATTTCCTAAAATATTTATTCATTTTATAAAAAGTAGACAGTGTTCCTTTTATGTTGGCTAATTGAGTTTCATAATCTTCCGGATTGAAACTGGAAAAAAATGTCAATAGTTATGATGGAGAAATACCGGTTGAACAATATCACCTTTTCTTGATATTCTTGGCCTTATTCATTTCCACGAACATGTGCAAAATCGTTTGCTTGGTGGAGGCTATTTCAGATATACGTTCTGCCCGTTCAAAAATTTCCATGATTAAATTTTCGTTTACCAAAGATCTGTACCTAGAGTTTTCGTATCTGGCTTCTAGACCAAATAATTTCGTGTTGAGGCCTATAATTAACAAGTTTTTCACTAATGTTTTTACGACCGAAAAAAATGGTTAAAAGTTTAATTTGATTTTGTTAAATAATAATAAACAGTTCACGTAATCAAGGGGCAAAATTAATCAATTCTGACCTATGATGCAACCTTATTTATTATACTTACAAATCGACAACATTTAAATGTTTGTACTCTTTGAAATAAATTAGATTATTCATTTTTGTTGTTACGATGGCTTTGCTCGAATTCGGTTTATTATTGGTGACTTTGGTGATTCTAGTTTGGTTTTATTTCAAACAATCGTATTCGTATTGGAAGAATAAGAAAATTCCTTATATGGAACCAGTTTTCCCCTACGGAAATCTTGATAGCCTTTTACCCCGAGGAATATCTATAGGTAATTTTTTTAATTTTTTTTTAGGATTTTTTTTATATTTTGCGATGTAGAATCACCCCCTTTAAATTTTTTGAATCGAACTCGGAAACCACAATTCATATCCCACTTCTGATTTAAAGGAACATTAAGGGATTTTTCCCATACACGGGTATATATGTCCCTATAAAGCATATTTTTGAGATACACTGTATATACACGTGCAAAACTTAAAAAAAAATCTTGGATTGTCTATGTATACATTATAATGTGTAAATATTGATAATTATAGATAATTATTGTTATTTTACTTTTAATACATGCAAAACAATTTAATTAAGTAATATTAAAACTAAATTAAACCAAATTAAAATAACATTATCGTTTCATAAACTCTATAGTAGATACATTCATTTAACAAAATCACCACTACACGCGTTATAAAGTTATTCCCAACAATAACTTGTATTACTATACACAGTATACGAATAATTGCTTTCAACTATCCGTCATTTTCTTCTTTCTTTAACCCTTAGAATCCATATATCAAATCTCCGTCATGGGGGTCACTTATTTAACCATTCGGTTCCAGAAGAGTCTTCTGGTATAGATCTCGCACCCTTGATTATTCCTTATTCCTGCCATCGCCTTTCCTCTACTGATGCTGGAATGTTCTCGATAACTCATAACTGAATTTACGCATATTAAAAAAGCGTTCGTTTTCTTCATCAGGCCTTCAAAGCAAGAAGTACTTCGACGAGTTCAAGAAACGTAACCTCAAATATGGCGGAGTGTACGCGATAGCGGCTCCGATGCTGGTGGTGAACGACGTGGACATCATCAAAGACATTCTGATAAAAGACTTCAGCCACTTCTCCGACAGGGGAATCTACCACAACCATAAGAGCGATAAAATGTCGGTGAGCTTGTTCTCTCAGGACGGGCAGAAATGGAAAACATTGCGCACCAAGTTCACACCTACGTTCACTTCAGGAAAAATGAAGGCTATGTTTAATACTATGAGCAGCAACGCCAAAAACATGATTGGTTTTCTTGATGGCCTTGAAAAGAAGGAGGTGGTGAATATAAAGTATTTGGCACAGGGTTATACGATCGATGTGATTGGCAACATTGTTTTTGGTTTGGAGTGCGATAGCTTTAAAACGCCGGACACTATGTTCAGGAAAATGGCCTCAAGGATTTTACAGGTTGATTTTACACTAGCAGCTAAACTGAGTTTGGCAATATACTTTCCCAATTTGGCCAGGAAACTAGGCGTGAATATCTTCCATAAAGACGTCGCGAAGTTCTTCATCACCTTGGTGAAAGACAACGTTCACTACAGAGAAAGCAACAACATCAGGAGGCCGGATTTTTTCCAGTCTTTGATCGATTTGAAGAATCTTGAAAACGCTGAAGAAAGCATCAGTATCGATGAAGTCGCTGCTCAGACTTTCTTGTTCTTCCTTGCCGGTTTCGAAACTTCATCCTCGACGATTACGTATTGTTTATACGAGTTGGCGAGGAATCAGGAGATTCAGGAGAAAGTGAGGGAAGATGTGAGAAAAGTGGTGCAGAAACATGATGGAGAAATTACGTACGATGGTATCAAAGAGATGAAGTATTTGGGGCAAGCTATAGACGGTAAGATTTTAGAGTTCATTTAATTGTTATAGACGATTTCAGAAATTTTATTTAACCGTGAAAATAAAACTTTTTCAAAACAAAACCAATCTTGACTTTCCTTGTTTTTAAGTTAAGTTCCATCTGAACCATCGATGTTTAAATAAGGCGGGAAAGATTTTTCAACTAAAAATAATGTATACATCTTTTTGTCCTAGAAACTCTAAGGATGTATTCTTCTGGTTCGACTTTGACGCGTGTATGCACAAAAAATTACCAAATACACGGCACCAACGACGTCATAGAAAAAGGCACCAAAATTCTTATTTCAGTCGCTGGTATCCACAAAGATCCGAACCTATGGGTCAACCCTCAAGAATTTGATCCGGAAAGATTCAACGACGAAAACAAACAAAACATACATCCATGCGCGTATTTGCCATTCGGAGAGGGGCCCAAAAATTGCATAGGTAACATTCGGTTATTAGTTTATGTTCTACAACTATAAATTTTTATTTTTAGGGATGAGATTTGGATTGCTGGAAACCAAAATTGGGGTTGCTACACTTTTGTCGAATTATAGATTTCATATAAGTCCTGAAACGAAGCAACCCTTGGAGTTTGAACCCCAAACATTCTTCCTACTAACTATAGAAGATATAGTACTAAAAGTAGAAAAATTATAACTTATTATTGTTCCTTAAAGTTATGCATTACGTTATATATATTTTATAAATACAAAGCTCGATGTTTTACTTACAACTCCATTATAATACCAATGTAACACGTAATATTATTATTACTAGCACGGTAAGTAAAATGACAAACAAGAAAGCTCCGATTTCTGTTTGTTTGACGCCCTTCCAATAGCACTCCCAAACTAACAATTTACTCTGTACGACGCTACTTAACGTCAAGATTAAATTAAAAAAATTAAAGATTCTTAAAATATATTAAGTTTCGTTTGGTGGTTTGGCAGTTTGCAAAAATTTCCTAAAATATTTATTCATTTTATAAAAAGTAGACAGTGTTCCTTTTATGTTGGCCAATTGAGTTTCATAATCTTCCGGATTGAAACTGAAAAAAAATGTCGATAGTTAGGATGGAAAAATACCGGTTGAACAATATCACCTTTTCTTGATATTCTTGGCCTTATTCATTTCCACGAACATGTGCAAAATCGTTTGCTTGGTGGAGGCTATTTCAGATATGCGTTCTGCAGCCCGCTCAAAAATGTCCATGATTAAATTTTCGTTCACCAAAGATCTGTATCTAGAGTTTTCGTATCTGGCTTCCAGACCAAATATTTTCGTGTTGAGGCCTATAATTAACATGTTTTTTTCGTCAGCCAACTTGTCCTAAAAGCATAAAGGTGTAGTCACTGGATGTCCACTTTAGGATGACAACTCTTACCAAATTTGCTTTTGCATTTTCCAAGGCTATTAAATCATTCGCCTGTTTCTGTATTAGAACATTCCTTGTCACCAGAAGTATTTCGTAGCATTCCAGCATTTCAACAGGTTGCGAGAAACTGTCGGATTCGTTGCAACAGTTCAATAAAAATTTCTAAAACAAAAAATATTGTCCAAGTGCGATGGAATAGTTTATAGGAAGTGTACCTGATAGATGTTATGCTTTTTGATACCCTCCTCTAGTTTCAATTTGATTTCGAAAAATTTCTTGTAGGATTCTTGAATCTCCTCTGTATCATGTTGTCTTTTCTCTATTAAAAGTTTTTCTTCCTCCATCTTTATGTTGCCTCTTTCGCGCTTTTCTCTGTTTTCTTTTATAAACTAAAAAAATACGTTGTATGTAGGGTAAAGTAGACAGTTATAGTTATTGAACAATTAACATTAATAGGTACTGTAAAAACAATAGTTCTATAAATAGTTACCTTAAAGTCAAAGAGCAGGGCATATATAAATTTGTGTCCAATAACTAAGTATGTGGTTTACCCTATGTTGTATCATGGAAAGAAATGTTTACCTTATCAAATCTTAAAAAATTGTTTCTAAATATTTTTTCTTTCTCTTCAAATAGCTCGTACTCCTTTACTATAACTTTTCTTTTCTCCTCTTGGCGTTTCCTTTGCTTGCTCAAATTTTTTTCCGTTTTTCGTAATGTCTCTTTAGCATCATCCAGCAATATGTACGGATCTCCACAATTGATAGTACCGAGCTTTTCGTAATATTTACTTAAACATATCATAACAGCTTATTTTAAGTTAGGTTTGCGTCTTAAGTTAAGTATACCTTAAAGTGACATTGAAATTTCGGGATTTGATGTAGTCCAAGACATAATCGTACAATGGTCTCTCCCGCACATTTTCCATTTTTGGCAACTTCATGTCGTTTTCAAACATCTTGTTGTTTTATAATAAAAACTGCTCTTTCAAAAAAAAATAAACAGAACAGAAAAAATATTATTCGTACAAGACAAAAAGTCAAACAAATGTTACAAAAAGTCAAAAAAGTTTGCCGTTGCGTTGGTAATGCTAGAGACCGTATTATATGCAACAAAATATGCATTAATTGATAGTTTGGGAGTGCTATTGAGAGGGCGTCACGGTAATAATAATAATATTACTTATTAAATTGGTATTATAAAAGAGTTTTAAATTAAACAAAAACATTATATTTATAAAATATATCTTACATAAGAAACAATAATAATAAGTTACAATTTTTCTACTTTTAGTACCACATCATCTGTAGTAAATAGGACGAAGGTTTCAGGTTGAAACTTCAAGGGTTGCTTCGTTTTAGGGCTCAAATGAAATCTATAATTCGACAAAAGTGTGGCAATTCCAGTTTTGGTTTGCAGCAATCCAAATCTCATTCCTAAAAAATATAAAGTTGTAGTTGTAGAACATAAACAAACAACCGAATGGTACCTATGCAATTTCTGGGCCCCTCTCCAAACGGCAAATACGCGCATGGATGTATATTTTGTTTGTTTTCGTCGTTGAATCTTTCAGGATCAAATTCTTGAGGGTTGACCCATAGGTCCGGGTCTTTGTGGATGCCAGCGACTGGAATAAGAATTTTGGTGCCTTTTTCTATGACGTCGTCGGTGCCGTGTATTTGGTAATTTTTTGTGCATACACGCGTCAAAGTCGAGACCAAAGGATACATCCTTAGAGTTTCTAGGACAAAAAGATGTATACATTATTTTTAGTTGAAAAATCTTTCCTGCCTTATTCAAACATCGATGGTTCAGATGGAACTTAACTAAAAACATGGAAAGTCAAGATTGGTTTTGTTTTTAAGAAGTTTTTCATTTTCACGGTTAAATAAAATTTCTGAAATCGTCTATAACAAATAAATGAACTCTAAAGTCTTACCGTCTAGAACTTGCCCCAAATACTTCATCTCTTTGATACCATCGTACGTAATTTCTCCATCATGTTTCTGCACCACTTTTCTGACATCCTCCCTCACTTTCTCCTGAATCTCCTGATTCCTCGCCAACTCGTACAAACAAAACATAATCGTCGAGGATGACGTTTCGAAGCCGGCAGTGAAGAACAAGAAAGTCTGAGAAGCGACTTCATCGATATCGATGCTTTCTTCAGCGTTTCCAAGATTCTTCAAATCGATCAAAGACTGGAAGAAATCCGGCCTCCTGATGTTGTTGCTTTCCCTGTAGTGAACGTTTTCTTTCACCATGGTGGTGAAGAACTCGTCGACGTCTTTATTGGTGATGTACGCGCCTAATTTCTTGGCCAAATTGGGGTAGTATATCGCCAAACAAAGGTTAGCTGCTGCTACAAAATCGACCTCGAAAATCCTTCTAGCCATTTTCCTGAACATAGTGTCCGGCGTTTTGAAGCTATTGCACTCCAACCCAAAAACAGTGTTGCCAATCACATCGATCGTGTAACCCTGCGTCAAATACTTTATATTCACCGCCTCCTTATTTTCAAGGCCATCAAGAAAACCGAGCATGTTTTTGGCGTTGCTGCTCATAGCATCGAACATAACCTTCATTTTTCCCGAAGTGAAAGTAGGCGTGAACTTGGTGCGCAATGTTTTCCATTTCTGCCCGTCCTGAGAAAACAAGCTCACCGACATTTTATCGCTCTTCTGGTTGTGGTAGATTCCCCTGTCGGAAAAGTAGCTGAAGTCTTTTATCAGAATGTCTTTGATGATGTCCACGTCGTTCACCACCAGCATCGGCGCCGCTATCGCGTACACTCCGCCATATTTGAGGTTACGTTTCTTGAACTCGTCGAAGTACTTCTTGCTTTGAATGCCTGATGAAGAAAACGGACGCTTTTTTAATATGCGTAAATTCAGTTATGAGTTATCGAGAACATTCCAGCATCAGTAGAGGAAATGCGATGGCAGGAATAAGGAATAATCAAGGGTGCGAGATCTATAACAGAAGACTCTTCTGGAACCGAATGGTTAAATAAGTGACCCCCATGACGGAGAGTTGATATATGGATTGTAAGGGTTAAAGAAAGAAGAAAATGACGGATAGTTGAAAGCAATTATTCGTATACTGTGTATAGTAATACAAGTTATTGTTGGGAATAACTTTATAACGTGCCCTTCGCGTGTAGTGGTGATTTTGTTAAGAGTTTATGAAACGATAATGTTATTTTAATTTGGTTTAATTTAGTTTTAATATTACCTAATTAAATAGTTTTGCATGTATTAAAAGTAAAATAACAATAATTATCTATACCCAGACCGCAAAATCACATTCCCTGCACATGCCAGGAATATTCCCAGGAATATTCCAATCGTCCCAGAATATTCCCAGGAATATTCCTGGCATAATCAAATGTCCGCTTTTTGATTAACCCAGGCATCATAAAAAGAATATTCCATATATCTGCCTGCAGAAGACTCAAGGATTATTAGGGGAATATTCCTTGATATAATTTGGGGATTATTCCCAGCCCATATTGCCTCTTATACCCAGGAACTTAACTTAAGTATAGCCATTATTGAGTTACTGAGTAGATCAGTCCCACTCTAATCATTGTTTGGCTGTGCCATCACAGACGCACATCTCCAACTAATATTATTAACCTATCGGTATATATAGTTATCAAGCGTGCGTAAGCAACGGTGAGAGGTATTGCAACTAAACTAATGAATATTCACTGGGAATATTCCTAGATGATGCTTGGAAGTTTTAGAGGATCATTCTAGGAATATTCCCAATGAATATTCCTAGAATGAAGCGGAATATTCCTAGGCGATACGGAATATTCCTGGAATATTTTCGAACCTTCATTGCAGTCTGGGTAATTATCAATATTTACACATTACATAGACAATCCTAGATTTTTTTTTAGTTTTGCACGTGTTTATACAGTGTATCTAAAAAATATGCTTCATAGGGACATATTTAACCGTGTATGGGAAAAATCCCTAAATGTTCCTTTAAATCAGAAGTGGGATATGAATTGTGGTTTCCGAGTTCGATTCAAAAAATTTAAAGGGGGTGATTCTACATCGCAAAATATAAAAAAAATCCTAAAAAAAATAAAAAAAATTACCTATAGATATTCCTCGGGGTAAAAGGCTATCAAGATTTCCGTAGGGGAAAACTGGTTCCATATAAGGAATTTTCTTCTTCTTCCAATACGAATACGATTGTTTAAAATAAAACCAAACTAGAATCACCAAAGTCACCAATAATAAACCGAATTCGAGCAAAGCCATCGTAATAAAAAATAACACAACAACAATTATAAGGCAGAGTCTATTCTATTTGTAACTTAAGAGAGCAACATTTATATGATATTGTGGAGTACCTAAATGAACCTACGTCAGTTCATTGCGCGTTCAGGGCCGGATTTACATTTTAAGGAGCCCTAAGTGGAGTCAGAATTTAATACCCTGGGATCTTTAACTTTATTGTTAATAAATCATATAATAATAAGAAGATATAAAAACATTAGTTTAGATGTTTTTATTTTGTGCTTAAAATAATTTGTTTATGAAATTTAAATTTTCCATCCTGAAAAAACCCTAAATACCAAACTATTATTAGCATTACAAGTCAAAATTTACAAAAGAAAAGAGTCATTGTTGATTTACCAACTTTATGTAATACATTTGAATATATATGTATATATGAACTTGTTTTGTTTACTCAAAACATTGATAAAGGCTTTTTTTATGACTCGGCAGGTTTCAACGAGATTTTTTTTAAAATCCTTATCAGGACTTTTTATTTTGAATTTCAATTTTAAATATCTAGAAATAGAAACAATACAATTTCTTTTCTATTTTTTTTTTTGTAAAATTGAGAAATGCGTCAATCAAAAATTTTTTTTTATTCCTTGTCAATTCTTCTGGTTGTTGACTAATTAAATGTTTTGTAAACAAAATTACTGATAAAAAATTGCAGTCAGTGACTTATTAAAAATGTTGATAAGCCAAGCATTTAATTAAAAGTAATACAAACAGTGTTTGTTAATTTAAAAAAAATCAACAAGGCCGTACGACTAAAGTAGTCAAATCTCTTGATAAAAAAATATTATTATATAAGTGCAAAGTGTTTTTGTTCAATACATATGTATTGCTTTATTCAAAAGCTTCTATTGTAAATGACCAATAGAATTCAATAAAAATAAGTAATTGGTTTGAAATGTGTTTTGGTGCTATGAATCACCAATTGCCTATGCTTGTCTCTATTGGCTAAATCCAATAGAAATGCACATGGAATGTGCAAACCCATTCCAACCAATTAAAATAAAATTACTCGGCTATAATCATTTTTTTGTCTTTCTTGCAAAGGATGTTTGTAGGAATGGTCGAAGTCGATATTGTTTATGTCAAATTTTTTTATTTTGTCCGCCATCGTCCCTAAACCTTACACATATAAACATTTTTTTAAGTTATAAGTACACCACTATCACTAGGCACTTAACATAGAAATGGCTAATGGCTCAACCTCGTTGATTTTGCGCAGCTACACGAGAGAAACCAATAAAAAAACATTAGAATCCTAATTGGACTTTTCCATCATGGAAAATTCCAGTAAAAACCAATTTCTGTTTTATATCGCGCCCAATTAAATCCAGTAAGTCCCATTCAGACCCATTGATACCAACCAATACTCCAATTGCTTTCTACAAGAATTAATCGGTCAATCGGCTTTTGTAGCAAGAAAAATTTTCTACAACAACAAACAAAGCAAAATACATTTCCGATACACAGTTACCCAGTAAAATGAAAAATAAAAAACCAAAGGTGTTTTAAACTTTTTATATACATTACAAAGACAAGTATATGCAAAAGGTGGGACACTATCTCAAAGACACCATAGAGATAGCATACTATATAAATGGATCTATCTTTAGATTTTTTGGCAGTCTAGGTATATTTTTTCTGTAGTATTTAACAGAAACGCACTGGGGTCGTAGGTAATTTTTTCGTCCTTCATGATTTTGCTCAAAGAAAATTTATAATTTTTAAGTAGCACTGTCAATCCCACTTTAGTTTGTAAGACTCCGAACCTCAAACCTGAAAAGTAAATTTATCATTCAATATTATATATTATATATATATATATATTCAACCCAAGAGGTTGAGTTTTCCATCCTTGACTCACCTATGCATATTCTGTTCCCTTCCCCGAAAGGTATATAGGTGAATGGATCTCTGCTAGCCTTATTTTCAAGGTTGAATCTTTCAGGGTCAAATGTTTCGGCATCAGGGTAGTTTTTCTCGTCATGGTGTATACCCATGATGGGTATAACAACTTTAGTACCTTTTTGTATGATCACATCCTCGCCTTCCACTTTGTAATCCTTCACGCAGACCCTTGTAATGACAGGAACTGGAGGATGGAGACGGAGTGTTTCTAGAAATATGTTTGTGGGTATCCTCTTCATAATACATTTAATAATACTCACCTTCGATTACTTGGCCCATGTAATGCATATCGTTAAGGGCCTCATAGGTGATCTCCCCCCCATGCTTGGCCAAAACCCTGTTGATTTCGTCTCTAACCTTCTCCTGGACTTCCTGATTTCTACTCATGTTATACAACGCAAAAGTCATCGTTGTAGAAGAAGTATCGAAACCGGCTAAAAAAAATATAACGCACTGAGCAGCAATCTCGTTGAAAGTCAAACTGTTGCCATCTCCTTCAGACTCGTCGTTTTTGGACTTCATCTCCATGAGAATCTGGAAGAAGTCTTTGCGAACGATGTTGTTTTCTTCGCGGTAGTCTATGTTGTCTTTTACCACCTTCGAAAAGAAATCGCTCACGTCTTTGGACAGCTGGCGTAAACCTTAAATTGTTTACTTGAACAATGTTGTTTGCTGTATATATAAATATATATTATAGTTATACCTAGAGCCCGGCCAAGCTTTGGAAAACTATGCGATATCGCCACCATTAGAAATTCAAATTTGTTCTCCCCTATGGACGCTATTTTCTTCCCGTACAGCCTAAAAGGCGACTCCTCGTCCTGGAAGGTGTTGCAATCCAAACCGAACGCACAGCAACCTATGATGTCGGTCGTGAAACGACCCATGACCTCCTTGATATCGACTGGGTTGTTGTTAGCGGACTCACGAGCCATCACCTTCTCCAAAATCAATCCGCAGTCGATGACAGTTTTAAACATGGCCTTAATTTTGCCGGAGGTGAAAGTGGGGGTGAGTTTTCGTCGCAGGTTGCGCCATTTCGAGCCGCCTATGGCGAACAAGTGGGCACCCAAGGGGTCTTTACTCTCGTTGTAGTAAAACCCTGGAATACAGTTAACATTGACTTATACTGTCCCGGAGAAAGTTAAACCAGGGGACTGTAATTCTCCTTCTTACCTCTGTCGACGAAGTAATTGAAGTCCCTCTGAAGTACATTTTTTAGCAGGTTCGGATCGGTAGGCATGTAGAGGGCCCTGTTGAAAAAGTATACCCCGCAATGTCTATAACCTTTCTCTCTAGCCTGTCTGTAAAGATTGGATATGTGACTTCCGAGAGAGACGCGGCTCTTGTCAAAAGGGCTTTGAAGATTTCCAAACGGAATGCTAGGTTCCAAATAAGGTACATTTTTTCGTTTCCAATACGAAAAGGACCATTTGAAGTAGGTGTATAGTATGCAGGCTATGGCTACTAAAGTGCTCAGAATGTCTATTGCCATTGAAGCCATTTTGTTAATAGAAACCTAAAAATAATAATACTATATAAATTTATTACTTATTTAATTTACCTTATTGTTTTTAAGTTCAAAATTCAATCCAAGAATCTAAAGATAAGATATTTATCTTGGCACTTAAGTCTATTATCAGATAAATATTACATAATTTATTTTATAACTTTTAAAATAGTATTTCCACACTAATAGAAAGAAGAATTTAACCTCATTTTTTCTCAATTTATAATGACTAAAAATGGTACTATAAAAATCATATATAAACAATAAATTGTTTATATTTTATCAAGGTTAAGGTTTTCGTGAGAAATATCCATAAAAAGTAACATTCAAAATATAAATACAATATTATCATTAATGTTTCAACTAATTACAATAAACATATGCTTTTATTTGTGCAAATACGTTTATTAATTTATCAAACAAGATTATTTTGTTAAATTTATATGCATGTAACCGTTTACTTATATTTTGGTTTAATAAAACACTTTTACAACTTTGTCACAATGTAGTTATTGAACCTAACTGTTCACGATACAAAATCTAACTGATTCAGTTAAACTGAATTACAAATCTTAATTATACAACATCCAAAACACTAATAATAATTTAAAATTAAACCTGTTTCTGTAGACGCACACCTCCAAAGGCTTTGTTATCTATGACCTCCAACTGAATATTTGTAGCCTGTTGGTATTTATAGTGGAGAGCGTGCGTAATCAGCGGTGAGATGCATCGCTATTATATTTGTTAGTTAATTACATTTTTAGGATTTTTTGTGGCAAAAATGTTTGATATGGAGTACCTTTGACCCAGAGAGCCATATACGGTTAAAACTTGGCCAAGAATAATAAAAAGTATTTTAAAAAATAAAAATTTGTTAAAAGAACGAAAAAAAAAATTATAATTAAAAAATATTTTAAATAATAAAGATTGGAAAAAAAGTCCACGATTTTTCAGGTGAATCTTTAAAAAAACGATCTTTATACGTGTTATAATATTATGAGCAAATAGAAGCCTACTTATCAAGAATTATGTTTTATTGAACTTATTGGAAAATTGTTTGTGAAATTGAAGTATGATATTGGTTTGTAAAAAACACACTAGTTATTATTAAAAACACCTTTATTTAAAGCAAAATGGATACAGAGATAATATCAATAATATCTAATTATCTAGATCATTTCACCCATAGGTTTGATAGTCAATTCTGTAATCTAAAATAAAAAAATTATTGAATCAAATCCTTAATCCACTGAAAATTAATTAAATACCTGTACGTTAGGTGGAGTACTCAAGACGTATAGGACCGCATTGGTTACATCTATGGGTTTCAAGGCTGGAACTTGAGCAATCAGTTTTACCATTGCTGGGTCTTCAAAAAATCCACCAGCCTCAATGATTTCCGTCGAGACAAAACCAGGACTGAGGCTCTAAAATCAAGTTTGTTAAACGCCACGCCATGTATACGTAGAGCAACCAAATCATGTTGGGACGTTACTTACGGTCGTTTTGATCTTGCTCTTCATCATTTGAAGATCGTATCGTAATGTTTCTGTGAGGCCTGTCACGGCATGCTTCGATGCCGGGTAGACGTTTTGATTGGGTACTGGAGGAACGCGATGCCCGGCAACGCTGTTAACGTTGATGATGTGCCCATCGACATGGTTCGTCATCATGCTTTTTATAGCTTCCCTAGTAGCTATAGTCAATCCTGAAAATGGTGTGTTGGAAAATTTTCCTCTCTATACCCACCTCTTTATATACCTAAGACATTCGTGTCCAGAACCTGCTTCCAGAGTTCAGTGTTTCCATCGATGATGCTATTTTTTTTGGCCACCCCTGCATTGTTCACCAAAACGTGTACCGGACCAATTGTTTCGCCTATTTCCTTGAATGCCCTTACAATGTTATCTTCATTAGTAATGTCAACTTCAAAAGCGTACAGTTTCCCTTTTAATCCTGACAGTTTTTGAGCAAGTTCTTCAATGCGCTCTTTTCTACGAGCCAAGCCCACAACCTTAATAAGTTATTATTAAAAGTTCAAAATATTTCAACAAAAATTACCTGAAGGCCTTCCTCAACCAGTTTCTCGGCCAGTGAGGCCCCAATCCCAGCACTAGCACCGGTTATCACAGCCACCTTGCCTACCCAGCGTTCCATCTCGACTGATGTACCATTCAGTCACTAGTTTCAAAGACGAGTTCAAGGACAAGCCCAGTTATAAGTATATTCAGTTTTAAAGATATACCGTATTAAATGCATAACTTTACAGAAAAAACATTACAAATTTCAACAATTTAATATTGAATGATTATGATATGGAAATAGTCAAATCAATATAGGGACAATCGCGATATCCCCTCAAAAATCTCAGAAATATATTTATTATAAATTTTGCATGACATTGATTTTTCTCATAAGAATAACTTCAATCACGCAAAGTTCATAGCTAGAATATAAAGTATATCAGTAAATATTTTTTGTATAATGGATAAGTGGTTGGGAAAAGTGGCAGTTGTGACAGGGGCTAGTGCTGGAGTTGGAGCTACAATAACGAAGGCCTTAGTTCAGCAAGGACTGATGGTAATAAACCTAATGAATCGTTATAAATAGTGAGAATTTTTCCATAAAAAAATGCCAAGTCGCCATCTATTACATGTCAAGAGTTATTAATTTTGTAATATAAATCAAAGAAGAAAAAAAAATTTTTTTGGCAAAATTGATTAAGAAGAACATATTTACCTTGAAGTATAGTAAAATTTCAAAAAATATTTAATTAAACAATGGAAAAAAAATAATTAAAAATTAACTGGATTTTTTAAAATGGTAAAAAAAATAAATTGAACAGTCGGCCATGTTAGTTTGATTCGATGATTTTTAGTTTTTAGTGTGTTAAATAACAATCATTTGCACATCAATTCATGTTTTTGGTTACGTTTAAATTTTCTTAGTTTTCTGGAAAAAAAAATTTGAAAATTTTTGGAAAAATTCGAAAAAAATTTTTTTTTCCGAAATGTGCAGGTCTGAAAGGCCCATCTGGTATAGGCTTTTAACATTGGTCGTCATACACCTTTTCACCAAATTTGGTCTTTTTACATCGATCTCTTCGACCTGGAATGCTTTACGACTAAACCCCAAAATTTCGTTAAAAAATCGAAAAAAGGTGCACTTAGACCTTACTTACACCAACAAAATTTTAATGGAAGTTGTGTCTTGTAGTCACACTAAAATAATAAAAATTTCAAAGTTGTATCTAAAATAGTTTTTTAGTTATCAAGTTTTTTAAAAAAAAATCAAAAAATGACAGACGACTAACAGACATCCAGACAACAAACACAAGTGTCTAGAGAAGTTTATAAAACGACAAAATTTTAAAAATGATTCTGTTATGTTGTTTGCCTAACAAAGCTTATCATGTCATGACATATAATCACAGATTATAATTATAAGACATTTGTTATTCTGTTAAGTGCTGGATTTGCTTCAGTCATGTTGCCACGCGCACGCGCCTTTATACACAGCACCGCTGTTCACTTAGGTTGAGGTGTATAAGTTGGGGAACTGACCTATGTTTCATTACTCTGGTATCTCTTCAATAAGCGAATAAATCTTTCGCCTTTTACTAAAGATTTCCGTGGAGAGGTACAACTCAAATGAGTCTGTAAACAATTTTTTGTTGGCCTGACGAAAGTCGGGCCGTGTCAAGTAATCAAAATAAAATTTGTGAAAAATTAGCATAAACTACATTTTTATAATAAGCAGTAAGTAGGTATTTAATTGAATTTTTTAGCTTATGAGATATTTGACTGCATTTCTGTGTTGAATTCGGTTACAAAATGTCCATAGCTTTACCATAGCACAAGAAAACGCATTTTGCATTTTTTTGCAGTTACTGCTTTTCTCCATAGTAGGGCAGTATAATAGTGAATTTAATTTACTATGATGGACAAATATATTTCCAATATTCGTTCTTTTTAAATAACCGTACAAACAACAACAGGTATCATGCTTCATTTAATTGTTTTGACGCGGCGTTCCTAGATGGTGCCCGTCACCGTTATCTATCTCTCGCTTGTTTTAGGGTAAAACATTTGGTTAAAAGACGAGGTGAACTTTGTTTTGGTTATCGCTTCTCGGCCTATGGCTAAGATCAAAGTGTAGTATCTGTTCTTATCAGCTTAATATCTGATACGCACCGCATGCGGTGCCAGTATATTAAACTGATTTTTGGAAATTGACGGGAGTTAGGGGCTTGCTCCACTCCCGTCGCGGGTTGGCCCGGTATTGCAGTACCGCCGGGATCGGCCCATATTTAACTAATTAAACATAAAATCTCTATTGAAGGTTGTGGGTTTGGCACGACGAATTGATAAAATCGAAGCACTATCAAAAACACTGACCGAGGAAAGTGGGAAATTATATGCGATTAAATGCGACATTACCAGAGAAGACGACGTCATTAAATACTTCACATGGATCGTCAACAACATAGGGCCTATTCACGTTCTAATCAACAACGCTTATCTCATGAAACCAGCCAATCTGACAAGTAAAACTAACCTCAACGCAATGAGACAAAACTGCACATACAAGTGTTACATAATTTCAGACGGTTCCTCCGAAGACTGGCGCAGGGTTTTCGAGGTCAACGTGATCGCTTTGAGCACATGCACGCGCGAAGCCGTGAAAATAATGAACGAGCACGGAATCGCCGGCCACATAGTGCACATGAACAGTGTACACGGCCATTTCGTGCCAGGAGGAAACGACAACAACCTCAACGTGTATCCGGCATCGAAGTTTGCCGTGACAGCTCTGGCGGAAAGTTTACGGCAAGAATTACGAGTCGCGAAAAGCAAAATCAAGATTACGGTAAGATTTACAGTAATCTTGGTTGCCTATGTTGAGAGAGTTCTGTTAACTGGGTTGCCTATTATGTGGAGGAATTTGTTGTGTTGTGTTGTTTTAGAGTATAAGTCCAGGATTTATCAGGATGGATTTGGATGATAATAACGAAAATCCTTCTTCCAAACCTGCTTTGAAACCCGACGATGTTGCCGAAGCTGTGGTTTATGTACTAAGCACAGGTCCAAATGTCCAGGTATTAAAATTACAAAAATTCTTACAATTAGAACCATTTGATTCTCTTTTAGGTACAAGAACTTATTTTAAGACCACTAGGAGAAAGATTTTAATAGATTTGATGTACATTGTTCTTGCAAAAAATAAACAAAAACTCAATAAATACAAAAGTTTTATTCCCATAGAAAAAGGATATACCCTTCTGTATTTATTTACCCATCCAGCTATTAGCTTAAGCAATAATTAGAAAATTTAGTACGTATTTTAAAAACTCCATAACCACAAATTTAATTTTTTCATCGTTTTTTTTTTCTGTTAACTCAGATAAAATTAGGAGAAGCTCACAGGTTAAACTTTAAACATTTAATTTGTGTAAATAAATCCAAAAGTTAAGATATATACAATTTGAAAGAAATGCACTGGATTCTGTCATAAGTTGCCAGATTTTGTTTGAATTTACCTTCATTACAAAAATGACAAAAATCAACAATTAATAAAAACGCCAAATCAACAATTTAGTCATTTGTCATTTCTGTAATTAATCTAAATTTAAACAAAATCTGGCAATAATAAATTAAATTAGGCATTTTGTTCAAAACATTTAAGAAAAATAGACTTGAATGTTTTTGTTCCCCACAAATGTGAAACACCCTTTATACAGGGTGTTATGTAATTAATGTTATATATTAAAATACTGAATACCTTTTGACATAAGGAATAAAGGAAAAATATTTAAAAAAACATTTTTCCAAAGATAAAGAAAAAATATGCAAATAAGTTTTTTATATTTTTTGTGATAAGCCACTGGTTACACACTTGGTTTATCTACATAGATACCAACCAACAAAGTAGCTATGCGTTGCCAGATGTAAAAAATTGTTACTAAAAATTTTTTTTTGCAAAAAATAAATAAAAACTCAATAAATACAAAAGTTTTATGCCCTTAAAGCTCTAATACCCTTCTGTGTTTATTTACTGATCCAGCTATTAGCTTAAGCAATGATTAGAAAATTTAGTACCTTTGAAATTTGAAATCCATAACCACAAAATTAATTTTTTCATCCGTTTTTTTCTCTGTTTACTCAGATGAAATTGGGACCAGTTCACAGGTTAAACTTTAAACATTTAATTTGTGTAAATAAATCCAAAAGCACTTCCCTTAGTTAAGATATTTACAATTTGAAAACATAACCTAAAATTTAAAAGAAGTGCACTAGATTCTGTCATAAAAGTTGGCAGATTTTGTTTGAATTTACCTTCAGTACAAAAATGGCATAACCAACAATTAATAAAAACGCCAAATTGACAATTTGCATTGTTAATTTTGTCATTTTTGTAATTAAGCTAAATTTAAACAATGTTTGTCAACTTTTTTGAGAGATTTTGTAAACACTGTTGTTACCAACCATAACAAATCCACCAGTTTAACTTAAAGTTCCTAGTCGATCAGTGGCGTACTTTTTGGTAGAATAAAGGTTATTATAAATTATTTTTAGACTTTGGAATTTAGAAAAAAAAAGTTTCAGGTGCTTCTTTATGGGCCCTAGGGAACAACCCATTTTAATATATAACATTAATTACATAATACCCTGTATGATGATGTGTTATTTATGACACTTTTATTAATAAATTAATAAAAATCATTGTTGATTTTTTTTCTCCAACCTATACCACAAAACAAAAAACAATATTAACAAATAAATATATATTTATTATTTCTATTAGAATCCATACATATATAGTATAAAAATATTAATTTTAGTATCTAAAGGCAACTTAATAATGGAAGAACAGGTTGATATATATTTAGTTTAGTGCGGAATAAGTGTAAATACCTCATTTATTTTATTCTATTTTATTTTAACCGTAACACTAATAATTACATATAAAACATCCTTTAATCTTTCTTAACAGCTTTAGCAGAGTCATTACCTTCCAAAGAGTTATAAATGGAAACTAAAAAAGTACCAAATTTAATAAAAGTCACAATTTAAACACTTTATTTTTTCAAGATAAGATAATAAAATCATACCTATAATAATAATCAGTATTACCACTCCGATAACACCCATAATGATCATCATCTTAATATTTTTCCACCAGTATTTTCTTTTTAATTTTTGCGCTTGCTGTTCAAAGCGTTTTCCACCCTCCTGCAAGGCATCAGCTCGGCTATCAAGTTCAGATAATTTTTGGTCCCGTTCCAATACTTTTTCCACATTAACTCTCATAATACCAACCACCTCATTTACCTGAATTATAAAAATTATAACAATTTATTTAAACAAAGGTGAAATTTTACCAACCTGGGCTTGAGCCTGGGCCAGTTTGGTGTTAGACTGGGTTGGGTTCTCCATTTTCTAAAAAAACACCATAAAAAGTTCACAGTATGCAACAAAAACGTATTAAAATTACAAACCACACTAAATTCATCTAAATATTTATAATACAACAGTCTAAACAATTTACTTAATAAAAAAAACAATTTACCTTATACATCTCATCAGCATATTCTTACAAATAAAACTTTTATTATTATCAAAAATTGATAACATTTTTTTTTGTAGTATGTATCGATCGATAAAATAAAATAAAACAAACACAAATAATACTTACGAAAATCAATCAAAACGCAAATTAAAACAAACTAAACGTTTTAAGTGGAAAAATAAAATAAAAACTGAGTAATACGTTGACGTTTACTTCCCTTGTCTTGTCCAGAAACGTCAAATCGACGCGGTGTTGCCAAACGTCACAAATTAAAGCGTAAAACTTACGATTTAATTCATTATTATCAGCAATACAGCTTCATTTTTTATGTGGTTGTTTTTGATGTACAAAACTATATCATTTTCGTCGTGTCATAGGTTTAAACGACTTATTTAAACAAGGTGAAAACAAACTTGACAACAGCGACGATATAGTTTTCAATGGTTGTCAACAGATGGCCGGGAGATGTCAACATGTTTATTCAATAAACTTTATTGTTTTTGCTTATCACTTGTATAAAATGTATTCATTTGTATATTTATTTTAATATGAAAAATATTAATTAATGTATAACCTTACAGGATTTTACCAATAGACCATGGTTTATTTCTTGGTCTGAGGTTTATTTTATGCCATAGACCTTAGAAGCCATAGATGTTCAAAAACGAGTTAATCCAAAATATCGTTCTGTAAAGTTTTGGTTTCAAAGCTGGAAAGCCAAACGTTCAGTGTAATTTGGTAATTAAGGAATAAGCAGTGTTGCCAATCGGCAGTTGGCAACTCTGCATGTTGCGTGACGTCCACAGATTATAAAGGTGACGTCATTAGCCAGAGTCGAGATGTCAACAAGAGCTAAAATCACATATTTAGATATGTGGCTAAAATACACGATAAACGCCGATAAAATGGAAAAGGCGGGAAAAAAAGTTTGTTCCAAGTATTGTTTTGTGGCTTGTTGTACGAATTCAACGCGGAAAACACCTGAAAAAAGGTTTATCACCGTGCCGAAAGGAAAAGTAAGGGAAAACTGGTTTAAAAGAGCAGGACGCGATTTAAAAACATCGTCACTGCTCTCATCATTTTACTGTTGCGAGGATCATTTCAATGTGAGTTTTATTGTTAACATTATGGCATACCTAAAGGGGAAAATAAAAAGTGAGGTTAGATCATTTGACAGATTTGATATACCAAGGGCGACTATGATGTTTTTGGAATTGCAACTACCTCATTGGTCCAAATCACAGTGAATAATAATATATTAATAATACGAAAAAAACAAAAAAGCAATAGGAGTGTATTTCAATTTTCAGCTGGCAGAAGATATTGAAAACTACACAAGGATAAGATTTGATCCTCGTGCTAAGGTTTTTTTGAAGAAAGACGCCCTTCCCCGCTTTTTTACCAGAGAAAAAAATACCGTAAGTATGCCGGTTGATATATGCCAGTTATTCTGACACTTGTAATGAAACTCATACAAATAACATTGACAGCTGAGTAGACCATGGCTGATGACGTTTAAATGCGTTAATTAATCTTTGCAATACAATAAAAATGTTTCCAAATCGGTAGGATTGGCAACACTGCAATGGTGACATTTGGAGGTTATGGTTTATTAAACAAATCTAACATTATTTAACATTTTTGAGTGTTAATTTGAAACATTTTTTTGTATATTAGGTATCTCAATGCAAAAATGCAAAATTAATTTCTCTAAAAAGTTTACATGACGTTTGAACTGACCTTTTGAATTTGCCTATAAAGCACTTTTACCGTGAAAAACTGTTTCTTCATCGGGTTTTTAAGGTTGTTGATCAACTTTCAAGAGAGAAATTTCGATTTTGCTGAACAATTTGACAAACTGTCACTGTCATTTGGAATTTCAAAATTTGTAGCCGGTTTAACAGATTCCTATCGCCAACTTGGTTACTTTATTTTTGTATAGATGTCGCTTCGTTAGTAAAATACTATTTAATAATCTAAAACTCTTTAAGAATATTTGAAATTGATATGTTTATTTTCTAGTTGAAAATGGGTTAATTTATTAATATAAAGGGCATACAGAACATTTAATGAGTAAAAATACTATTTACTCATATATACGCGAAAAGTGAAAAGTGTGCACTGAAATTTGGTATACTACACTACCCTTGAATTATATTTATTTATTTGCACCATTAAGATAATATAGTAGCACCCAACGTATATATAACGCAAATCGGTTTTTTTATAATATTAGATTTTATTAGATAAATAAATACTACTGTTGTGTACTCTAGTAGAGTTAGTGTAGGGGCTGCTAACAGACCTAAGGCCGCCATTTTTATACGTCATCTTGTGAACAGATGATCAAGTTTTGCCGTATTTTTCAGTACTCTATAGTTTAAACAAGTGTAACAATGAGATGCTCTGTATATGGGTGTAAAACCGACAGTGGTTTAAAAAATTCTTTTAAATTTTTTGGTTTTCCCAAAGAGGCTACTATGAAGGCAAAGTGGAAGCTTCTGTGCAATCGCAAACGTAACTTTAATGTTGACAATGCCAGAGTTTGCTCGAGACACTTTGTTGATGAAGATTTCGAGAGAAATCTGAGACATGAGTTGCTTGGGTATCAACCCAAGACCTACAGACCTTTGAAAAAAGAAGCCGTCCCCTCACAAAATCTTTACAATATTGTAGGTTAAGTCTGATTTATAGATTGTCTTCCTTCCTTCCTCACAGTGCTGTTTATAGATCCCCGTACGGAAATCTATAAATGACCCTACGATTTTCGTATTGTTCATCTTTTACGGGAGGAAGGAAGGAAGGCCTTCTAAAAATCATGCTTTAGCGTTGCAACGTTCGTTCCGTAACGTTTTATCTATTTTTTCAGATTGAAGATGAAGACAAGTTTGTTGGAAAACAGAACAAGCGTAAAAAAGGTGTGGTAAATACCGCGAAAAAAAAAGATTTTGTTGCTTCTAGCCCCACAGAAGAAGAAAACGTTGAAGATGATAAAGGTACAGTTGCTAAATGCTATAATTTATCTCCATTACGTTTTTTTTTATTTCAGACCAAACAACATTAGTAAAAATCGAAGAATATTCAGAAAATAATTCTTCTGAATATTCGCCCCTTTTTGTTGATATCTTTAATATTCAAGGTAAATTTATTTTTATATGTTGGTATTATATATTTAACAAAATACTTTTAGGTGAAAAAGAAGAAACAGTAAGAGTAAAACAAGAAATAGACAAATTTGAAATTAAAGAAGAGCCCATTGAGTTAATAGAAAACAGTTTGGAAGAAAAATATCATAAAAATCATATAAATCTTAAAAAAGAGCACATAAAAAAATGTTTAGATGAAACGATTTGTTATTTAATAGAAACTAGGCAATATTCAGATTATATTTCAAAAATTTCATTTTTGGAACAGTTAAAAAAAGAACTTTAGGATAAGATGTTTTATACTGCAAATATATTTTTTTGTATGAAAAACCGTTTCTTAATTAAATACAATTTAAACACAACAATAATAATTATATCAACAAAATAAGGTTCATTTTTATGAAATTTAGGGGTTTGATTGGTAAATACTGAACCAAAATTGGCTGCATTGATTAAAACATACTAAACTAGTTATAAATGTAATTGTGGTTATGTTTAAATTATCGTAATAATTATAATTAAGGTCTTCAGTAGAAGTAAATACTAAATCAAACTGGCATACGCTATGGAACAAAGACAAAATCCAATTAAAAAACTAAATGTTTGTTTTACCACCGGAATTAAAATTACTGCATTTAGATAAAAGGTACTATAATTTCCTCACAAAGAAAGGAAAAAACAACATATTAAGGCAAAAAAAGCATACGATAACGTCAATCAAAAAAACCGGTTGGTATCACTGTTGTATGTTGGTATCACTGTTGTTTGAATTCCCGCTATTTTAAGGTTATAAGCCTTCAACATTTAAAAACTCGTGTTGTATCTAGTTTAGACAACTAATTCTTCTAAAAAACAATAAAAAAGTGTATTTAGTAAGTATATATTTGAATTAGCACGCCACGACACAAGTAAAATTGTTTTTTTCCTTGTTTTCAGTAAAATAAAATATGGGTGAAATTGGGGTATTGGAAACAAACGAAAATGATGATGAGGGGGCGTCCAAAAAAGTTAAAATCACTAACGAAAAAGCGGCTAAGAATGATATTAAACTGGCAACCCCCAAAACAAAATCAGAGAGATGTGACAAGTGTAAACAATACTTAGACCAGCTTATTTTGTACGAAGGGCATCCGAACCATTCTCAGGAGGAGTTTATCGCTTTAACAGATGAGAAACTGTCGGTTTTCAATGGGGATGAGGATTTTGGGGATAATCATGATGATTTCCCCACACATAAGGTAAGTCGGTTGATAATACAATAATCTGTTTTCATAGGGTTTTATGGGTATTTTTAGGTAACCCATTTCAGTGTGTATGATAAAAATGGGCATCTATGTCACTTTGATACGGGGTTGATTGAAAACAATGTTGAGTTGTATTTTTCTGGATATTTGAAGCCAGTTTTCGAAGAAGATTCTTCGACTAATAATGGTATTCCTGCTCATGATTTGGGGCCTATTAATGAATGGTAAGTAGTTATTTGCAAGTAATTCCTAAATAATTTTTTTTTAAATTATTTAGATTAAATTGGTAAAGTTAAATTTTTTAGTATTTAAAAATAGTGTTGAGATAAAAACATAAATTTTTTTACCAAAACAGTGCTCCCACACCTCCTAAAATTCATAAAATTCCTAAAATTTTGCTTAAAACTTGAAAACTCCTAAAATTCTCCTAAAATTGCATTCAATCTCCTAAAACTCCTAAAAATTAAATATAAGTAGGCCAAATATTTCTTAAAAAACAACAAAAAAACTTCTACAAAAATGTCATTTTTAGCCTTATTTCGTTTGTTTTAGACAAAAATATACCGTGTTATATATCAAACAAAAGGATTTTTAATTTTCTTGTAAATGACAGCTAAAATAGTAAACAATCCAAAGAATGTTTTGCTGTATTTTGCAAACTTCATATTTTGTTATGAGATTTTTAAGTATTAATATCCACATTACAAATCGGTGAGAATAAGAACAGTACAAGTCCAAAAATTTAATTTTGACAATTTATTTTCTAAACTCAATTTTAAAGTTTAAAATACATTTTTGAGAGAAGATATAAATTATTTTATAGAATATAAATATTATATTTCATAAAATAGTTAAAATATTCTAACAAAAATGCATTTAGAACTATAAAACTGATTTTTTTAAATATTTTATCAAAAATTTTACTTTTGGACTTGTACTATTCTTAATCTTACCGATTTAATTACTGTTAGTTATTAACTAAACAGTTAGCATATTATTTCTTAAAATATAAATATAACATCATTTGATTTTGGGATAGTTTTTTAACTAAATCTATCGACGCATTTTTTCAAATAAAATTAAAAGTTTGGAGAAATTTATACTTGTAAGTATATATATGTTCCTCAGATATATACAAAAGTAGTAATTTTACCTCACTTTTAATTTTATTTAAAAAAAAACTCGTCGAGCGATTTGGCTAAAAAAACTAGTCAATATAACTTATTTTTACAAAAGGAGTACCTATTAATTTTTTCTTATTTTTTAAGTAGTAAAGAGTTGTTTTTATTTAATTAAAGAAATTCATTTCCTTACTTTATTTCTCCTAAAATTTTACAAAAAACCTCCTAAATTCCTAAATAAAATTTGTAATTTAGCCGTGGGAGCCCTGCCAAAATAAAAAACAGAGTGCCATAGATTAATGAGGTTTTTTTATTTTAATTTTACTTTTATCTTTTTTTATTTATCCAATCATTTGATTAAAATTTGCGAATATTTGGGCATTTATTTTATGAAAAAATGTGCAAAATCTTTATTACAAAATTGTTTTTTTTATTAATCTGGTCAAATAGGGCGAATGTCAAATTTCGGTGGTCCCTGCTCGGGCGCCAATTTTAAAAGAAAAATAAATCGTTTTAAATAAATTTTAAGACAAAAAATGTAGAGATTGAAATTTTTTACAAAATTCTGTATTTAATCCCTAAAAAGATAGAGGGCGCCAAAGTTGACAAAAAATATTTTTTTTATATTTGACCCTCCAAAATTAAGTTCATTTATCATAACAAATAAAAGCGTTTTGGTCCTGGTGGCGCCATCTCTGTATGAGTTGTTTATCTATTATTATTTTTTCGCCATTTATCGGTATTGTAACAAATTGTTCGTCACTAAAAACAATACAATTTCAACAAAAACAAAAGGTGGACCGCTGGTTACGATGGAGGGGATAAACTTCCGATGGGCTTCTCTACTGGCTACGCGGAGTACTATTTGATGGAACCGTCGCCAGAGTACGCCACAATCTTCGCGAAAATACAGGAAAAAATCAAGCTGTCCAAGATGGTGATCGAGTTTCTATTGGACAGAGGGTGGGAGAGTCCGACCTATGAAGACCTGCTCGAACATATCGAGAGCTCTGCAGAATACCTACAAGTAATAATAATAATAATAATAATAATAATAAAACAAGGTATGTTCTTCAGAAGGACGAAAATTATTCGATTTTTCGATTTAATTGTCAAATAATTTGAAGATCACTCGTAATTGCAATTTAGGTTTAGTTGCCCAATAAAAACTCTAAATTGTCCAACATTGAATAAAACAAACTAAATTTGTGAAAAATATTATATTATGGTATGGTACAAGCTGGTTTTCTAATGCTTTGGGATGTTTCAATCCCGGTCCATTTCATTATCAGCAGCATCTGCAGTTTGAGTTTCTGTTATGGATTGTCCTTGAAGATCATTAGCTTCCTTGTCTTGGCACATTTCCGGTACAAAGCAAAAATAAATCTCTAAAAAAACTACTGCTATTTAATTGTATTTAAAATAAATCTGCTTCCTATCCTTAACATCAATTTTTTCAAGCCCATACTAAGAAAATGTACTGGATTTCTAGTTTTTTCTTCTGCCATTGTTTTTACAGATTTTCACTTTGCGGTGGAAACATGCGCAAGAACATACCTTGTTTTCTTGTACCACGGTAGGGTAATGACACCAGTAATTGCCATTATAAGCTAGTGTTTACACAAAAAAGCTAAAAAAGTACCAGAAGAAATTTAGATTTCGTCCTAATAAAAAGCCATGGTGGTTAATAGATACTTATAGAAGGTCACTATATTACCAAACATTAAAAATTAAAGACATAACTAAGTACAATATATTTTTTTTTATTGAGGTATAGAGGACTAGTAATTGCCATGACCATTTTTAAAAAAACCAGTAGTAGTTGCCAGTGTACCTAGCCAGTAATTGCCACTAATTTATTTTATTAAATAAAACAACAAAAATGGAAAATGGCATACCACCTTGGCAAGCAGCCAATGCAGATTCTTTACTTTCTTGGGAATAGCGAAAAAGGGCTTGTTTTTTGGTTCCATGTTGATCAATTTGGATTTTATACCTGGATCAATAATTGCCACTAAAGTGAACCAGTAATTGACACATTCAAAAAGAGATGGAAATTACTGGATTCTCTTTGAATATAATGTTCTTATTAATGTCAAGTATAAACTAAATATTATAGGTTAGTTTAGAGCTTTAATAAAGGTAATACAATAATCCAAAATTCTCCAGTAGCTAATTACCACAAATGGCAAATATTGGGTTAAAAGAAAAAAAATGCTCCAGTAATTGCCACTACTCTAAATCAAAATACTCTTTTAATTTAACGAACAATTTATATGCGTTTCATTTAAACTACTTAGCATATATGCCTATTGCACAAACAAAACTCAAATTGATTAACAACTTATGCCAATATCACGAAAAACTAATCTTACACTTTCTTAACCAAAGTCACAAGTAATATATATAAACAGCCTGATTCAACAAGTTGCCTGAATATGTTTTTCCTGTCGATAAATGCGCCACCTGGTGACAGTTGTTCTAAATACATAATACTCTAGATACACACATAGGCAGTGCGCCATATGCACAGATATTGCATATAGCTTTGTTTTTGAATTTCTAAATAATAAATGGCAACTACTGGTACAGTGGCAATTACTGGTGCCTTTACCCTACATGGATTGTTTTATTTACTATTAATTTAGGTGGAAGACTTGTTGTTGCAAAATGCGCAGTTCATATGCGATCAGGTGGTAAATTTCGATCGGGGATCCCCCGACGACGAAAAACCGATGATCTCGTACCCGTGCATGCGTTCGCTGGTCAACATGGCCGGCGTCACGTTCCAAAAGAGGAAAAAGATGAGGAAACAAGAGAGCAAAGGTATCAGGGTGAAAAAGGCCCCGGTTTGGTCTAAAGCCACGACCACCAAACTGGTGAGAGACGTATTCGAAAGTTTCTTCCCCGATCAAATAGATCAGGGGGGGAGGGATAAGGGGCCGAAGAAGAAAAGGTGCGGGGTTTGCGAGGCCTGCCAGAACCCAGACTGCGGCGAGTGCAGCTTTTGTAAGGTAAGAAAACATAAAAACTGTCAAAATTAAAAAAAAAAAAAATTAAAAAAAAAAAAATTAAAAAAAAAAAAAAAAAAAAAAAAAAATCTCGTTTAGGACATGCTGAAGTTCGGAGGCAGCGGCCGATCGAAGCAGGCGTGCAAGCAACGAAGATGCCCGAACATGGCCATCATGGACGCCGAACTGTCGGAGAACGAAGAAGAGGCCGACGCCAAAACGGAAGTGACGAAGAAGAAGAAAAAGTGCTCGAAGAGGATACTGCATAGCGTCACTTTCCCTGAGCAGCCTTCGAAGGAGGTTAAGGGCCGCAAGTGCTATTCCTCGGCCATTGTCGGTAAGTGCTAGAGATATAACGTTCCAGGAACATTTTCGCCCGAAAAAAAAAAAAATTTCAAGATGCAGATTGTGCGTTGTCATTTTAGGGGAGGAGAGTTTAAAGTCGGTTCATAAAGAGAGCATCCTAGAATATTTTGATTTTTCGAATAAAAATAGCAAGCCGACGGCGCGTAGTGAGTATTACGTGTTAAATGTTTGTTTGTCGTTGTGTACGTTTTTAATTGGGGAAGTTATAATTAGAAAGGTCCCAGCATCAAAATATGGGCTGGAACGCAATCTTCACAACAAGGTCTGTGGTTTTATTCAAGGCGTTTTGTAATTTTATACATTTCTGTGAAATCGGAATTTCAATTGAGTTTACCGTTTTCGAGATATTTACAAAAAAAATCTCCTAATTACGTCACTAGGCTATTGACAACGTTGCCAGCTTTTTCTATGGTTGCCAGTGTGTTTAGTTTAAGATTCTTACGATAGATGGCGCCACGTTATAATATTTTAGTTTTAAAACCACTTGATCTATAATTTTAGTTGAGAAGAAGAAGAAGAATTGATTTTTTTACGTTTCTTTTTTTCGGGTTATGTTTTTTTTAAATTTGGATTATTGAAAATCAATGTTATTGTTATGTTATTTGTAATTGATATTGGATAAGTGGTTTATTAATAACGGACTCCAAAGCAGAGGAATCTTGTGGAATGGTTGGTTACATTGAACATTGGAGCTTTTAAACAAATAAAGTAAGTACCTATAATTATAATCATATTTTGTCGTAAATGCATTTCATTAGTATAATGCCTAGTTCTTTATATTCTTTTAGATATATCTTGGACTTTATTTTGCCACTTTTTTCTATGAAATATATTAAACTCTGCTTTAGACAGTTATTACCTATTTATTACATTTTATTAGGTTTCACACGGTGTTTCAATGTGTAAACCTATCAATAAAACTTTTAATTTCAGAATTTTCTTTAACCTCCTCTTCTTCTTCTTCTTCTTTCACTCAACTGACAGTGACAGTATTTGTACATAACATCTTCGGGTATTTCCTGACATAACCGAATGAAATCATTAACAAGACAACTTGACAACAGGGTAATTTTCAACCAACAGAAATCTTAGAATTTTGGTCACATGGCGAGGTTTGTGACGTCATAAAAATTTATATTTTTTGTAAATATCTCGAAAACGGTAAACTCAATTGAAATTCCGATTTCACAGGAATGTTTAATATTACAAAACGCCTTGAATAAAACCATAAAAAGTATAGGTCAGAAAAAAATTAACTACCCCATTCTTTTGCGTAGAAGATGATCGTAATATCGTCCTGAAGGGCTGTTATAAAGTCATTAAAGTTTATTAAGAATAATATCGGGCCAAGGATCGTCCCCTGTGGCACACCGAACTCTACTGAATATCCCATTTATTTTTACCATGTTTGTTCTATTAGTAAGTTAGGATTTCAGTAAGTTTAAAGGTGTAGCTCTTATACCCATATTATCAAGTTTAGTAAGGAGAATTCGGTGTGACACAGAGTCAAAGGCTTTGGCCAGGTGAAGAAATGCAGCCACTACTTTATGTCCATTATTCCCCGGCTTTAAAAACAGGAACTACTACGGCTGCCTTAAATATTTGTGGATATGCGCCAGTTTTACAAAAGAGTAGTAAAACGGTTGTCCTTGGCACTTTAAAGCCTGATTTAAGTAAGAGACGCAACGTTTATTTTTATTCAATTTTAATTTATTTGATTCCGATTTGGGGTACTTGCTCAACAATATTATTTAACAAAATGCAAAGACTGCAAAATAAAATCATTAAAGTAGTATTTAATATTCCATATCTAACAGCAACCGAAGAAATATACAAAAAATTAACTAAAAACTGTAAAAAAATTAAACAATGTAAATTAGTGCATAAAACAATCAATAAAAACCAAAAAACTAATCATAAATTTATATTATGCAAAGAGATTCATGATCATAATACTAGGAACCAAAGCAAAATTTATTTAACAAATACACATTCTAATATAGGTTTGAATAATCCAATAAATCGTAGTGTGGAAAGTTATAACATGTTACCCCAATCAATAAAAAATAATAATAAATTTAAGAAAAACTTAAAAAATAATTTTTTAAATGACTACGAAATATAAAAAATTCGCTACAGTCTCCATCACCAGCACAGGGTGCTGATTAGGAGTCTAAATTATTTTCGTTTATGTATTGTACCTTCTCGGACCAAAATATTATTAAAATATCTAGTTTATGAGTGTACTTATTTGGAAACAGTTGTACAGGACAGTTAAAACGAAAATAAAGATCTTAAAAAAAAAACGGTGTTTCTTTAGGCGGCGTGAAGGTGGAGGCCGGCGACTTCGTCATCTTGAACCCGGAGAACCTGAACGAGCCTCTGTGCGTGGCCAAAGTGGCCTACATCTACGATCAAGCGCCCCAGGGCCCCATGTTCCACGCGCACTTCTTCTGCCGCGCGAAAGACACCGTGATAGGCGAGTGCGCGGACCCGCGCGAGCTCTTCGTCGTCGACAGCTGCGACGAGTGCCCCTTGGGGGCCATCGTGCGTAAAGCCGAGGTGGAGTTCAGAAAACCCCCCGCGAATTGGCACGAGCTGGGTGGAGAGCTGAACCTCCCCCCGCAATGCGAGGACGACGGCAAAACGTTCTACTTCTCGAAGCGTTACGAGATCGCCAACAGTCGATTCGTCGATTACGTCGAAGAGACGGAAATCGACGAGTCTAACCCTTGCGATTGCTGCAAGCGGAAGCTGCAAGCGAAAAAGTTCGAAACGCCCTTCACAATCGACGGTAAAGTGTCGTGGAAGGGGGAGTTGTACAAAGTTGGCAGCGGGGTGTTCTTGAAACCGGAAACGTACAAATTTTCCGCGGCGGAGGAGCTGGAAGAAGCCAACAAGGAGAACAACGTCGACGAGACGATTTATCCGGAATTCTGGCGGAAGAGATCGGAGAATATCAAGGGTTCGAACCTCGACACGCCAGATCCCTTCGTTATCGGCCTCGTCGAGAGCGTGGAGGACAAGAAGGCGGGCATTAAAATCATGGTTCGCGTATTCTTCAGACCCGACAACACCAAATCTATATTCCAAGCCTACACCAAAGATCTGAACTACCTGTACTGGACTGACGAAGTGATCACCACAACGTTCGAAAACGTCACCGGCAAGTGCTACCTTGCCTTCGAGGAGAACATCGTCGACCTGGAGGATTGGAGGCAAAAAGGTCCCAACCGCTTCTATTTCAACGAAACCTACAGCCCCCTCAGCAACAGCTACGAAGAGGTGCCGCACAGCGCCAAAAAGCTGGGAGGACAGGGCAAAACCGGGAAAGGTAACACGACACAAAAAAAAACGCGTCCTACTAATTAATTTTTCATAACTAAGGTGGGGGAAAAGTGAAAGGTAAGTCCAGCAAGACAGAAAAGGATCTACCGGACGTCCCGGAAGTTTGGGAGCGACTGGATAACCCTCTAAGGTGCATGGACGTTTTCGCTGGATGTGGGGGGCTATCCGAAGGTCTGCACCAATCAGGCATCGCGGAGACAAAGTGGGCGGTAAGTCTTTTTCAAATTTTCAGAACACTTTTTTCTCTGTAGTGGACGTCATTCGTTTTCGCAACTCATTTTTAGATTGTAAATAACACAGCATATAGAACTGTCACTGACACTGTCAAAAGCGAAAGGCGTTACAATAATACCCCCCAGAGATTGTAAACTCTCCCACCACTGCCCTCTAGAGCTACAACACTTAAGCAATACCTATTTGCGAATGGCAATGTCAATCATAATGAATAAATTATTGAATTTTATTAAAGTATTGACTATCCTGCCGTATTATAGTACTATTACAGTACTCGACAAATTTTGTTCAATTGCACAGCTAAATCGCGCACGTTATTTGTGTTTTACGTTGCAAGGAAAAAACTAAAAAACTGGTTTAGTACTCGATTTCGATCGATTATTCTTTATATCATTGATTAAGAAACTCAACGCTTAAATGCTTATATAGTTACGTTAGTGTGTGCATTTTATCTAAGGGATCATGGTGAATCATTGTGTTTTTAATTTTAAATAAAATTTAAGAACTAAATTGTTGCAATTTCATGTTTTGCCAAAGGATTCAATTCGGTAACTATATTTGTTGGTGCAGAATTAACTAATGATAACTTTACCTAACATAATTTATATTTAAGTATGGTCATTTTTAAGAAATTGGTAAAAAATAATTTTTGCACAAACATAACCTTAAAATCAACCATTTTTATATTTGAGTTCTCTAAAAAACGCCGACGACTGCATTTTAAACAACAAAATTTACCTACGAATTCATGGCAACATAATATTATATACCACGATCCACACAACAAGGTCTGTTCTATCCTAAGAAGAAAAAAGGTTCTATCTCATGCTAACAGGGCTCCCACACCTCCTAAAACTCATAAAATTCCTAAAATTTGGCTTAAATCTTGAAAACTCCTAAAATTCTCCTAAAATTGCATTCAATCTCCTAAAACTCCTAAAATTCTAAAAATTAAATTTAAATAGGCCAACCTGACAAAAATTCTATTTAAAAATATATATTTTTAGGTTCCATTTTATTAAATTCTTTTTAAAATGATATAATATCACAACCAAAATTTTTCTTAAAAAACAACAAAACACTTCTACAAAATTGTAATTTTTAGCGATATTTCGTTTTTTTAGTCAAATATATACCGTTTTATATATCAAACAAAAGGATTTTTAACTTCCTTTTAAATGACAGCTAAAATAGTAAACAATCTAAAGAATGTTTTGCTGTATTTTGCAAACTTTATATTTTGTTATGAGATTTTTAAGTATTAAGATCCACATTACAATTAAATCGGTGAGAATAAGAACAGTACAAGTCCAAAAATTTAATTTTGACAATTTATTTTCTATAATCAATTTTAAGGTTTAAAATACATTTTTGTGGGAAGATATAAATTATTTTACAGAATATGAATGTTATATTTCATAAAATAGTTAAAATATTCTAACAAAAATGCATTTAGAAATATAAAACTGATTTTTTAAATATTTTATCAAAAATTTTACTTTTGGACTTGTACTATTCTTAATCTTACCGATTTAATTATTGTTAGTTAATTAACTAAACGGTTAACATATTTTTTTTAAAATATAAATATCATTTGATTAAATAAAATTAAAAGTGTGGTGAAATTTATACTTGTATATATATGTACATACCTCAGATATATAAAAAAGTAGTAATTTTACCTCACTTTTAATTTTATTTAAAAAAAAACTAGCGATTTGGCTAAAAAATCAATATAACTTATTTTTACAAAATAAGTATTAATTTTTTCCATAGAGTTGTTTTTATTTAATTAAAGAAATTCATTTCCATACTTTATTTCTCCTAAAATTGTACAAAAAACCTCCTAAATTCCTAAATAAAATTTGTAATTTAGCCGTGGGAGCCCTGTGCTAAAAATACTAAAAATTACTGCAACACTGCACATAGTTTAACGGCGGCCATTTTTGTTATTTACATTTCTTGTGCTTTGGGTTTGTGCTGTTTAATAATTGTTTTAAACGTTGTGTTTCTTACAGAGGCCTCAAATAAGGCCTTTAAGTGCTAAGGACACCCATTTTACTCCTCTTTTATAATAAATATACCTTATTCTATCAGGGCTGTCAAATGACAATTTGAAGGTTAATTTGTGGGTTATAATTTAACCTTAAAATTGACATTTGACAGTTTTATGGCAGCCCTGATAGAATAAAGTTTATTTTTTTCAATAGAGGAGTAAAATGGTTGTTCTTAGCACTTTAAGGACTCTGAGAAACACAACGTTTAAAACGATTATTAATCTGTATAAACAGAGCACAAACCCAAAGCACAAAAATTGGAAACAACAAAAATGGCCGCAGTTAAACTGTGCAGTGTTGCAGTGATTTTTTGTATTTTTAGTACGAAATAGAACAGACCTTGTTGTGTGGATTGTGTATAATACATAATATAATGGTATTTTACCGTTGAGTGGAGACTTTCTTAATCAACGCTTTTAATAATGCTAAATGCTGTTTAAATTTAGATGACTTATTTGTTTGACGATTATTACTGAATTGATATGTTACACTTTTCACGTTAATCATTACTAAAATGTGTATTTATTGTATCTAATAGGTACAGAGACTGTATGCAATTTATTTCTTCATTCGGATTAACACTGTTTTATTGGAAAACCGGTAAAACTCAACCCAGCATTTCCTCTCTAAATACACCCAACAACACTCGTTTGTAACATAAGCGTTTGACAGCTGATTATTAAAAGTTTTACTTTTGTTACGATGATGCTTAGGTATTGCAGACCTAGATGGCGACACCTTCAAATTCAAATTCAAATTTATTCATCTTCATGTTTACAATGGTTTTACAAAATTTTTTTTTATTAAATTAATAAGTGCACCTGATTTCTCATGGAAATCGTGTCGTGCTTAATCAATTACAATCAACATGCGTATAAGGTAATATAATTTGAATATAAGTCAAAATTAAAGTACAATTCGTTAACTTCGAAATAACAACAAAAAAGAAAAAAATAACAAAAATATCAACAAAATTAGGCAATAAAGTTGAAATATTAAAGCAGCATACTTTCTATGACATCCCTATTATGGTAGATAAATGTTTTAACTTTTTTACAAAATAAACCAAATGAATTAATACATTTTAGATCATTAGGCAAAATACTATATAGTTTCGGTCCTTGTACAAAAATACTATTTTCGAACAACGTAGATGATATTCTAGGTATAATAAAAAGCTCTTGTCTAGTATCATATCTATGAGTTGGTAATTCTCTTAACTCTGATTTTTTATAAACGAACTTCAGTACATTAAATGCATATATTTGAAAAAAATTAAAAACTCTACATTCATTATAAACCTCATTCACTTTACTTTACTTTGTCCTCTTGCCGCTAGCGCTAGCGTCAGTTGGTACTACCAACTGCAGAATAAATCCCTAAATCGCCATTTATATGATTCTTGTTTTTTATTATTTTTAAAACTTACGGTGGTTTATGCAGATAGAAAAAGAGAACGCTGCAGCTCAGGCGTTTCGTTTGAACAACCCGGACTGCAAGGTGTTCACCGACGACTGCAACGAAATTCTGAAGCTGGTGATGTCGGGCGAGGGTAGGCATCGCAGTTTGCCGTGCAAGGGGGAGGTGGAGCTCTTGGTGGGCGGCCCCCCTTGCCAGGGCTTCTCCGGCATGAACCGCTTCAACGCTGGGCAGTACTCGGCGTTTAAAAACTCCTTAGTAGCTTCCTACCTCAGCTACTGCGAGTATTACAGGTACAGTGAACCTGGCCTTAGTCTACAGGGTGTTATGTAATTAATGTTATATATTAAAATACTGACATACGGAATAAAGGAAAAATATTTAAAAAAACATTTTTCCAAAGATAAAGAAAAAATATGCATTAGAAGTTTTTAATATTTTTTGTGATACGCCACTGGTTACACACTTGTTTATCTCTGCACACCTGTATTTTGTGAGTACATAGATACCAACCAACAAAGTAGCTATGCGTTGCCAGATGTAAAAAATTGTTACTAAAAATTTTTCTTGCAAAAAATAAATAAAAACTCAATAAATACAAAAGTTTTATGCCCTTAAAGCTCTAATACCCTTCTGTATTTATTTACTGATCCAGCTATTAGCTTAAGCAATGATTAGAAAATTTAGTACCTTTGAAATTTGAAATCCATAACCACAAAATTAATTTTTTCATCAGTTTTTTTCTATCTGTTTACTCAGATGAAATTGGGACCAGTTCACAGGTTAAACTTTAAACATTTAATTCGTGTAAATAAATCCAAAAGCACTTCCCTTAGTTAAGATATTTACAATTTGAAAACATAACCTAAAATTTAAAAGAAATGCACTAGATTCTGTCATAAAAGTTGGCAGATTTTGTTTGAATTTACCTTCAGTACAAAAATGAAATAACCAACAATTAATTAATTGACAATTTGCATTGTTAATTTTGTCATTTTTGTAATTAAGCTAAATTTAAACAATGTTGATCAACTTTTTTGAGAGATTTTGGAAACACTGTTGTTACCAACCATAACATAATAAATCCACCAGATTAGCCTAAAGTTCCTAGTCGATCAGTGGCGTACTTTTCGGTAGGATAAAGGTTATTATAAATTATTTTTAGACTTTGGAATTTAGAAAAAAAAAGTTTCAGGTGCTTCTTTATGGACCCTAAGAAACAACCCATTTTAATATATAACATTAATTACATAACACCCTGTATATTCGTTTAAAGCTTAATTTTCATGTATCCGTTTGTCCGTCAGTCCGTTCATCCGGGAGCGCTCTTATTGGTCCAAATATAATTCGAAAATTATGACATTTTATCGGTCCGTCAAGTTTCAACTTCGTACGTCTGACAGAGAAAGGTTAAATAATTTTAACTCATCCGTCACTACACATCTGTTTTTGACGCCTAACGTTATTTTAAGATAATTAATTTTCAAATATTTTTATATTTTTTCAATAAAATTGTAAAACGGAAATATTACGTTCGTTATGTGAATAATGTTTTACTGTTAAGTTTTTATTTAATAAGAATAACGGAAAAAAAGAAAGAACAAACAAAAAAAATTAAAACTAGAACTAAAAGGACCTGCTTTTTTAAAACTATACATTTTAATGTATATTAGGGCTAGTATATTCTTTTTATAAGGTATATTTACCTACATTTAAATTTATTAAACAGCTAACTGTTAAAGTTACAATTGTTGACATAATTGTAACTATGACAATTAAGCATTAGGTAAATTTAGTAAGTGAATATACTGACACTTAATTTCTATTTGTCGCAAAATCAATCCGTTAAACGTCATTAAAAAACGTATGCATGAAAATTAGAACATTTCTTATCGGACGATTTTATTGAAAAACTGACATACGGATGACGGACAAACGGATACATAAAAATTAAGCTTAAAACGCGTCTTTTAGGCCCAAGTACTTCGTCTTGGAGAACGTGAGGAACTTCGTGTCGTTCAAGAAGAGCATCGTGCTGAAGCTGACGTTGAGGTGCCTGTTGGCGATGGGATACCAGGTGAGTGCGGTTTTCGCACTTGGAGATGCGTTTTTCGTTTATTGCGATGGGTTTGTTTAGGTGACGTTCGGGGTGCTGCAGGCGGGTCACTACGGCGTGCCGCAGACGAGGAGGCGGTTGATTCTGATGGCCGCCGCCCCCGGGCACGTGTTGCCCAGGTATCCGGAGCCGAAGCACGTTTTCAACAAGCGCGGCTGTCAGCTGTCGTTCGCGGTGGACGGGGTCAGATACGAGAACGGTAAGTCGAAATAAGAAATCAATGAACTGGGATTTTTTTAAATTTAAAGAATTTTAGTTATGAAAGTTTTAAATTTTTGTAAATTTAAAGAATTTTAGTAATTTTGAGAATTTTGGAAATTTTACAAATTTACAATTTGGAGAAATTTGTAGTAATTTAGAGAATTCCAGAAATTTTACAAAATGCTATTTTAAAGAATCTGTAAATTTTACTAATTTTGTAAATTTTAAAACTTGGTAAAATTGGAATTGAAAAATTCAAAATATTGGAAATTTTAAATAACCGAAAATTTAAAGAATTTTGGAAATTTTAAAAAAATTTGAAAATTAAAAGATTGTAGTAATTTTAAAACCAAAATTGGAATTGGAAATTTAAAAATTTGGGAAATTTTTGAAAATTTAAAGAATTTTAGTTGGTAATTTCGAAAATTTGAAAATTTTTAAAAATTTAAAGAATTTTAGTTATGAAAGTATTAAATTTTTGTAAATTTAAAGAATTTTAGTAATTTTGAGAATTTTGGAAATTTTACAAATTTACAATTTGGAGAAATTTGTAGTAATTTAGAGAAATCCGGAAATTTTACAAAATGCTATTTTAAACAATCTGTAAATTTTACTAATTTTGTAAATTTTAAAACTTGGTAAAATTGGAATTAAAAAATTCAAAATATTGGAAATTTTAAATACCGAAAATTTGAAGAATTTTGGAAATTTTAAAAAAATTTGAAAATTAAAAGATTGTAGTAATTTTAAAACTTCTAATAATAATAATAGTAATTTAGAGAATTCCGGAAATTTTACAAAATGCTATTTTAAAGAATCTGTAAATTTTACTAATTTTGTAAATTTTAAAACTTGGTAAAATTGGAATTGAAAAATTCAAAATATTGGAAATTTTAAATACCGAAAATTTGAAGAATTTTGGAAATTTTAAAAAAATTTGAAAATTAAAAGATTGTAGTAATTTTAAAACTTCTATAAATTTTACAAATTTTGTAAATTTAAAACCAAAATTGGGTTGGAAATTTAAAAATTTGGGAAATTTTGAAAATTTAAAGATTGTAATAATCTTCTGAAAATTGAAGTTGAAAACATTTTAGTAGGTAATTTCGAAAATTTGAAATTTTTTTTAAAATTAAAGAATTTTAGTTATGAAAATTTTAAATTTTTGTAAATTTAAAGAATTTTAGTAATTTTGAGAATTTTGATTTTTAGTAATTATAAAATTTCTGGAAATTTTACAAATTTTAGTAATTTAGAGAATTCTGGAAATTTTAAAAAATCTGTAAATTTTACTAATTTTGTAAATTTTAAAACTTGGTAAAATTTGAATTGGAAAATTAAAAATATTGGAAATTTTAAATAACCGAAAATTTAAAGAATTTTGTTGATTATGAATATATGGGAATTTAAAAAATTTCGAAAATTAAAAGATAGTAGTAATTTTAAAAACTTCTATAAATTTTGTAAATTTAAAACCAAAATTGGAATTGGAAATTTTAAAAATATTGGAAATTTAAACATTTGAGGAATTTTGAATTTTACTAATTTTGTAAATTTCGAAAATTTTAAAGTTCTTCAAAAATAGTTCATTTTAAAAATCTAAAGAATTTTAGTTATGAAAATTTTAAATTTTAAAGATTTTTAGTAATTATAAAAATTCTGAAAATTTTACAAATTTACAATTTCGAGAAATTTGTAGTAATTTAGAGAATTCTGGAAATTTTACAAAATGCTATTTTAAAAAATCTGTAAATTTTACTAATTTTGTAAATTTTAAAACTTGGTAAAATTGGAATTGGAAATTAAAAATACTGGAAATTTAAAAATTTAAGAAATTTTAAATCACCGAAAATTTAAAGATTTTTGGTGATTATGAAAATTCTGGAAATATTAAAAAATTTTGCAAATTAAAAGATTGTAGTAATTTTAAAAACTTCTATAAATTTTACAAATTTTGTAAATTTAAAACCAAAATTGGAATTAGAAATTTAAAAATTTGGGAAATTTTGAAAATTTAAAGAATTTTAGTGATAATGAACATTATGAAAATTTTAAAAAATTAAGAAATTTTGAAAATTTAAAGATTGTTTGTAGTAATCTTGAGAATTTTAAAAATTTTACAAAGAATTTTAGTAATTTTAAAACTTCTGTAAATTTAACAAATTTTGTAAATTTCAAAACTAAAATTAGAATTGGAAATTTAAGATTTTTGGTAATAATTTTGAGAATTCTAGAAATTTTACAAAGAATTTTAGTGATTTTAAAAATTTGAAAAATTGGAATTGTAAATTTTAAAAATATTGTAAATTTAACAATTTGAGAAATTTTGAAAATTTTTTGTACACTGATAAAAAAATGGGACAAATAAACTGTGTAGCTAATACTTTTATTAATAGTGAATATATTGTTTATTACCTCTAAATAGTCGAAATAATAACGATAAATATACTTCAGTAAAACTTTATGTGTCGGGAATAAAAATATATTTAGGATAAATAAACTGTACCCTTGTCCCATATTTAAATATTTTTTTTATTTGGGAGCAATAAACTTTTTTCTCAGTGTAGTAATTTGGAGAATTCTGGAAATTTTACAAAGAATTTAGTAGTCTTTTAAAAATCCAGTAAATTCTACAAATTTTGTAAATTTAAAAAATTTGAGACATTTTTAGTTTACTAATTTTGAAAATTTGAAGAATTTTGGTAATAATGAAAAAATAATTTTAAAAAATCTGTAGATTTTACAAATTTTGAAAATTTAAATTGGAATCTTCAATTGGTAATGGTACTATGTTACTATTAGTTTAATTTTATTTCAATGTTTTTTCATGGGTAAATTTTTGTAGTTTTTTTTTTCAATAAAATTTAGTATAGGATCGTTTTGAGGGGTGGTGAATCCAGTGCCGTGCTTAGATTTTGTTTAAAAAAATCGCTAATATGAATTCTTAAAAATTTACTCTTATTAAGATCTACACTTTAAAACAAATCCGGTTAAAAGATTTTACAGGGATGAGTCGCAATCAAATGTTAAAAGTTACAGGGTGTCAAATTGAAAGTTCATTTTTGATTTTATTAAAGAACTTTGACAAAAAAAAACAAACGTTTTTACATAAAATTTGTTTTTTTTAATTTACATAATAATCGCCTTGGTGTATTTACGCTTTAAAGATAAAAAAGTATTATTTTGATTACGTTTTCAGGATATTTACATTTAAATTGTTCAGTGCACCCGTTGAATTGCCATTTAAAATTGCGGCATTTTTAAAAAAGTAGGTTAAGATTAAGAAAATACAAATTTAGTTAAGTACTTGTCCATTGTTTTTGAAATTTAGGAATGAAGTATATGCAACAGTCGCGGCAAGACTCACTAATGAAGTATTTTAGTGGTTATTTTTACATATTTATTAGTAAGTCTTGACACGCCTGCTACACCAGCGGTATTTCAAAACGTAGGGATGAAATAAAAATTTTCTTTGAGGTGTCCAATGGGCGCTGTCGGCCCCGTACCGCACGATATGCGTGCGGGACGCTCTAAGCGACCTGCCCGACATCAAAAACGGCTGGAACAAGACCGAGATGCCGTACGACTTCGACGCAGTATCGCACTTCCAAAAAATCATGCGCGGCATAGACGACAGCGGCCTGGTCAAGGACCACGTGTGCAAGGAAATGGCGGCCATAGTCGAGGGTCGCATCTCACAAATCCCCACGTACCCGGGCGCCGACTGGCGAGACCTGCCCAACATATCCATCAGGTACTTTAATGATATGTTGAACAAATGTTAGAAACATTCCCCAATGCACAAAGTGCTTAAAGTACCTTTCGTCAACGATGTCGGCATCTTCAGAAGCAAAGTGTAGCTAAAAACTATCTAGCAGACTTGGTCCCCATGGATATAGAGAGCAAACATCAAAACACTAACAAACAATAATTATAAGATAATTTTTCAAAAGGTCGTATTTCCATTTGCAACAATTTTTCAAAAAAATGACTATAGGTTAGGGCAATATAGATTATTTAAAAAAAAGTTCTGATGAATATTTAATAATACTTCAGACCTGCTGTCATATTTCGCCGTTAATATATGCCTTTTAACCATACCTTTGGGATTTTGTCAAAAAATTACATTCAAGTAAAAATGGAAATAAAGCCTTTTGAAAAATCACTCCTCATTTGGGGTCGCCCAAAATTGAAAAGTCGGGGATCTACGAAATAAACTGTCAAGATTTTGACAAACAAATTGGACAATCTAAACAATCCATCCAAGTAAGGTTCAAAGATCACAGAACGTATACTTGATGATGGTCATAGAATAGAATTTGACAACCTTAAACTTATTAAGAAAGTTAGGGAAGCAAGTCTAGATAGTTCTTAGTTACATTTCGCTTCTGAAAAGTACTATGCTCCACACCTCAAAGTCCCACCACGTGACCACGTACGGAACGCAGTCTTTTGAAAATTTGGCATTTAAGGCTTTTTAGGTTATGGATCTGTCAAAGTATAGTCAACAAAAGAAATAATATTATGTTGAGGCGTTAAAAATGTATAAATCTTTATAACATTACAATAACAATGGATGGTTTATGAATTAAAGAATATAAATACTGCATTTAATGGTGCCAAATAAGTAATATTTTTGTGCATTTGGTCCAAATATCTGGTTTTCTCCATAAAATAATTTTAACTAAACAGCATTTATTTAAAAAATCTAGCTTCTCTATTATGGAATAAGAATATCTGTTTTAAAGGTAGGTTAATATATTATAACAAAAATATCATCTAATTTTGTAATTTTAAGGTTAGAATAATTTATTTTGACCAAAATAAATAAATATTTTGGATTATTTAAAAGACTGTATAATATGGTATTTAAAAATGTGGTAGTTTTTCTTATCCAGCTTAAAGTGTACCTACCTACATAAAGTTTTGTCAATACAAATAGTTAAAAAGCTTTGACTGAACTTGATCTAAATCGAAAAATCATTATAACTTAAAAAAAAATTAATAAATCACATGTCATGGGAGTATTAAATATTTTCACATTGCAAGTTTCTCTAAAAATTGTTTGTCTTCTTATAATCTAACTTAAAGTAGGTATGCCGAGAGGTATGCACAAGTTTTGTCATTAGAAGTATAAAAGCTTCAATTTAATTTGAACCATATTCAACAATTATTTAGTATACCTATATTTATTTATGACCATATTAACACACTCTTCTAAATAATCCACTTATTTATTTTGGTCAAAATAGATTTTTCTAACCTTAAAATACAAAATTAGATGATATTTTTTGTTCTAATACATTAACCTACCTTTGATACAGATATTCTTATTTCATAATAGAGAAGTTAGATTTTTTTAATAAATGCTGTTTAGTTAAAACTATTTTATGGAGAAATGTAGACCCAATGCACAAAAATATCACTTATATTGCACCTTACACTTTGGAATTTTATTAAATGCAGTATTTATATTCCTAAATTCTTAATCCAACCATTGTTATTGTGATACCATAAAGATTTATTAACTTAAACATAAGCGGTAACACTGTAAATATTATTTCTTTCGTTGACTATACTTTGACATATTCATAACCTGAAAAGGCTTAAATGGCAAATTTTCAAAAGACTGCGTTCCGTACGTGGTCACGTGGTGGGACTTTGAGGTGTGGAGCATAGTACCTACTTTAAGCACTTTGAGTGTGGGAATATTTCTAATATTTGTATATCGATTAGGCTCAGCGACGGCACCAAGACCAACGCGCTACGGTACCCGTACAGGGCGAAGAAACAAAAGGCTTCCGACGGAAGCGCCAACCGCGGGGTTTGTCAGTGCGCCACTGGTCAGGGCTGCGATCCTGCCGATAGGCAGTTTAACACCCTGATTCCGTGGTGTTTGCCTCACACCGCTGACAGACACAACCATTGGGCCGCTCTCTACGGGCGTTTGGAGTGGGACGGGTTTTTCGGTACCACCATAACCAACCCAGAACCCATGGGCAAGCAAGGCAGAGGTAAGACACTTTTAGGGTCAAAAAACTGGACTTTGGACTTTGGTGATGTGTTAAACAAATATTAGAAGTTTTTCTAATATTTGTTTGGTTTATCAAAACAAATAGAAATTAAACTTTTCTTTTAGTTCTTCATCCCGAGCAGAATCGCGTGGTAAGCGTGCGCGAGTGCGCGCGCTCCCAGGGTTTTCCCGACAGCTACAAATTTTTCGGCGGCATTTTGGACAAGCACCGGCAAGTTGGCAACGCTGTACCGCCACCCCTAGGCGCGGCAGTCGGCGGGGAGATCCGCCGCGCGTGGATAAACACGTTAAAAAATAAGAAATCCGACTGAGTAACATTTTTAAAGTGTAAGATAGTGTTTAATTTGTGCATTTTATTTTTGTAATTAAATATGTTTGTAAGTAAAGTTATTGATTTTTTTTCTGTAGTTTTTTTTAATGGTTATTGCAGTACATAGATTTGTACAAACAATGGCGGAGCAGTGAAAAAAATTTCCACTTTTACAATTACAATAGAACTATTAACAAAAAATAAAACATACATGAGTAGTTCATTTCACCGTCTTGCAGCGCCCCTAGCGGCTAACTTTAAAACTCAAATATAGAATATCGTATCGAAAAAGTTTTGCTTGGGAAGAAAACTAATTAAAAACATAAAAATTAAGGTTCAAATGTAATAAAAATAATAAATTAGAAAAACATTAAAATACAGACTGTCAAATGTCAATTTTAAAGTTAATTTACCATAACCTTAAAATTGACTTTTGACAGTTTGATGACAGCCCTGATAGAATAATGTTTATTTTTAACAAAAGAGAAGTAAAATGCAGTTTTAGGCTTCATTTGAGGCTATAAAAATTTGAAACTAATCAAAATGCCATAAATAGAAGAATTAACTAAAAAATATAGGATACAAAATTATACAAAATATTTATTGCATTAGGTATAATTGTTAATTTATTGAAAATAAATACATAGATAATAAACATATTTTTTATTCTGAAACGTTATACAAATTAAATTCTTTTTCTGATTATTTTCCTCATTATGATATGAACCAATCAAAAGCCTTGAATTTTCGAATAAATTTCGTTTAAATAAGCGATTAAATCACTAGAACTATTTAACAGCGATTAAATTTTAGCCTCCATATTGGATTTTTGTTTACGATTTTATGGTGTTATTTACAAGTTTTAACAAACATTTTTTAAAAAACAATAAAAAATAAGTTATCTAGTTTACGAAATATCAATTATTACTTATTACATACCTTAAATTAATGGAATTTTCTTTAAAAAAATATTTATAAATTTTGACACATACGTCAGATTTTATGAATTGTCAAATAGTTTCCTTTAATTCGAGAAATAATCTAGACGTATATCACTCAACCTATAAATTTAATCTGCCAAACTATGCTCAGTAAGTTGTTTATTTGATTTTTCTTTTTGGAAAATAGTTTCATGCAAAATAATTAAAAATAAAACCCCTCGACCGCTACGCGGTCTCGTGATTGTATTAAATTATTTTCCATTCAACATTTTCCAACAAAAACCAAACAAAAAACTACTGAGCCTAGTTTAACCGATTAAATTCATAGTTCTCGTGATATGATTATTTAATTTTTCATGCATGTATTGTGGGTTGCATACATATGTTTTTGACAATAAAATAAACTGGGGAATTGGATTATTAGTAATATTGATTCTTTAATTTATGTATTTCTTAATATTTTTTATAGATTAATAAGTTTCAAATAATAAGTGTCAAATAAGTGCATAAATCTAAATAAATTTCTAGAATATAGGCAACACTTACACGTCTGTATTCTTGGTTGCGTTGTGTCATGGCTCCCTACTAGAACACTTTTGTTGTGTATTGATTAAATTTCCTCATCAAAATATAAGAAATTTCTGATAATATTAATAAAACAGTCTTGGTGATTTCAAATAACATGTAAGTATATTGTGTAGTTGAACCTATTGAAGCTATTTTCCACAGCTTTATTCATTATTACAATTATTAGTATTTACAATTGTTTTAGCATTTGTTTATAAATTAATAGTTGTTGTTTATTATTAACATAGCTACCCGGTACAAGATATTTAAGTTACCTAAAATCTTAACATTTTCCATCAAACATTGCTGTAACCTACATAATGTTACTAAAATGTCATAGATAAATTTTTCAAATTCAGTTTATTCACCATAAAAGTCAACAGTACAGTAAAGTAAATCATTATACAAACTTAAAGGCTAGTCAGGTAAAAAAATATATATACACACATATTCTTAACTAAGTAAAGAACAACCTACATTGTAACTTTATAATCAAAAAATTCAGCTAGTGAATAAAAACTATGATCACATAAAAAAATTTTGGTTTTCATTTTTAACTCCCTAGGGTTATTTACATTTTTAATTATTGTCCTTATTTTATTAATGCACTTACTTCCCATGAATGCAGGAGAATGCTGACCTACCGATAATCTAGAGTAAGGCAAACGAATTTCAGTAGCTTTTCTAGTGTAGTATAAATGATAATGACTATTTTTCATAAATAAAGACTCTCTCTCAATAACAAAGTCTACTAACTGTAATATATATAGACAAGGTAGAGTAAGAAAGTTGTATTTTTTAAAAATTTCCTTACAAGAGGTATCAGGAGGTACATTCTCCATACATCTTAAAAACTTTTTTTGCATGACAAATGCCTTACAAAAGTAAGATGATGAGCCCCAAAACACTAAACCATATTGTAGAATTGATTGCACTAGTCCAAAATATAAGAGTTTCATTGTTTGTTCATCTACACTGTTATGTAGATGTTTAATTAAAAAACACAGAGAGCTTACTCTTAAACATACGGAATCAATGTGTTTTTCCCAAGTATATATTTTATTAACTTTGTTTATTAAAGTTAGCAAGTTTTTATAATTACAGAGTATAGGTAGGTAGTTCAATTAAAATTATATAAAATTTTTCATTGGTGTTTATATATAAAAGCTAAAATATCAAGAAAGAACAATGTTCGAGAAAAGTATATATTTAAAAGTAAACGTATGATTACTTATGTTCTCAAAATATAGAAGCAAAACTTAATATTTCATAGGTTTGCTGGGTGTTATGGAAAATGCTTTAGTAATTGTATGATATTAATTGCTATGTTATGTCATTTGGAACAAAAACTGTTATATGCATTTTTGTCAATAACAAAGAATGAATGCATTAATAATAAAAAGTTGTTGCATTGTTTCTATCTATCTTTAATTTGTTACTTTAATTAATGCTATTGTAGTAATAAATGATTTATTATTTTTCTAGTTAACTCTTTATTATCGGCATTTTATTTCTGTTATCTCCAATGACAGCAGCTGTCACTTTTTAGAATTTTAATTTTTGACATTTTATCCGACAACTGTCAAAGTTTTTAACCCCACTTTTCACAATCTAACATCTGTCAGACGGGTTTAACCTCACTTTTTCCCAATTTAACGCCCTAGTGCATTATAGGAAATAGAATTTAAATTTTTGACATTTTATCTAAAATCTGGCAACTGTCAACGTTTTTAACCACACTTTTTTCCAATCTGACATCTGTCAGACGGGTTTAACCTCACTTTTTAACAATTTCACAAGTGCATTCTAGAACCTTGATGCAGATTTTTTGTTTCAGAAAAATGTCCATAAAAGACCAGGAAGTAAAAATTAAAGACTCGCTTTTTGAATTTGTTAAAACGCATATTCCCGACGGAGATCTCACCCTTATAGACGAGATTGTTTTATCCTATGTAGTGGCAGTACTGGAAGATATCAGTGATGATCCAGGATTTGATGTTGAAGGTATTTTTTTATTCTTATTGTATACCATATACAATGCACGGGTGTTTTGTTAGTTGCATACCATACTCAACTCCATGCTCTCCCATTATGGTTATTGCTTTGTTTTTTTTAATGTTTAAGGTTTTTGCGAAATGATGTCAGCCTATTTTCCCGAATTTGAATCTATAAATCACTCCACCATCTGTCAATGGATGTTTGATTTGGAGGCAAAGTTGAGGTTGTCACAACCAGAAGAAAAAAATATTCTTGACTTAAACATCTCATTGCCTGAGGTTGCTCCAAAACCTAAACCAAGGTACTAAGTCTTGATTCATGGCATTTTTGGGACCCTGTACGTCAATTAATTAATGTTTAAGGTCCCGTGAAAATTCCGAAAATGTTGATCAACCGAAACGTATCCACAAGCTCTCCGAAATGAGCGACGGGGGATCCACCGACAGTTCTTGTTGTGAATTTAACGACGAAATCGAAATACTGCAGGAAATGTTTCCCAGCGTTTGTGCTATTGAGGTAAGACAGCGTTTGGTGGATGAAAAATAAAAGATCACTGTGTTTTTTTTTGTATTTTATTCCAAAAATAACAATGCAACTTAGAGCTCTCGCCTAGGTTAATTTTGACAACTCGTTTATGTAATTTTTTTAATACATCAAAAGCTGGTATTAAAAAAATCGTAACTCCAGGTAAAACACTGCCTGGCCATCGCCAACGGCAAGCTGGACTACGCAACGCAGCTACTAATCGACCGGCAGGAATCTGGCCAGTGTCTCATACCCAACAACACGCTGACGATACACGTAAACAAAGCGACGATCGACGATACCGAACTAAAGAACCGCATCATCGAACGATACTCGTACATCGACAAAGATGCCTTTAGCAAGGAGCATCGCCCGGTAGCTCCCAAAGTCGAGCCGAAAAAACTGGTGCGCTACAGGGACAACAAGATCGTCAGCCTGAAAGGCGAGAGGTACACCGAAGTCAAAAAGGGAGACGACGTCGAGGATATTTCTCTGAAGAAGAACAAGAAGGGGCACACCCCGTAACCAAAAGGTAAGTCTCCGAAAACAAGCTTTATCGCTTTATCTCGATTCCTATTGTTCGGACAAAAAAAAGTGTTGTATCAAATTTTTTTTTTAATTTCAAGCCCCACATTTTTTGTCTAAAAACTTTTTTCGTCCTACCAATATGAAACGAGATAAAATTGGCGCCCGAGCAGGGACCATGAAAATTTGCATTAAGATATCCAAAATAGTTTTTGGATTTATACGAATAACATGTTTAGCTTTATTACCCCCCCCCCCCCCCCACTGACCCATATCGATTTTCTGTGACCCCACTTTATCCAACTTTTTCAATTAGTACCAGCCACTTCACCTAATATTGCATTAATGGGGTAGTTAAATTTTTTCTGACCTATACTTTTTATGGTTTTATTCAAGGCGTTTTGTAATATTAAACATTTCTGTGAAATCAGAATTTCAATTGAGTTTACCGTTTTCGAGATATTTACAAAAAATATAAATTTTTATGACGTCACAAACCTCGCCATGTGACCAACATTCTAAGTTTTCTATTGGTTGAAAATTACCCTGTTGTCAAGTTGTCTTGTTAATGATTTCATTCGGTTATGTCAGAAAATACCCGAAGAGGTTATGTACAAATACTGTCACTGTCAGTTGAGTGAAAGATGGTCACCAAATTCATTAAGTACCTACCTATCTTCCTTATTACGAGGTATCATATTACTGTTTGATATTTTAGAGTCCAAGATATATCTAAAAGAATATAAAAAACTAGGCATTATACTACTTAATGAAATGCATTTACGACAAAATATGATTATAATTATAGGTACTTACTTTATTTGTTTAAAAGCTCCAATGTTCAATGTAACCAACCATTCCACAAGATTCCTTTGCTTTGGAGTCCGTTATTAATAAATCACTTATCTAATATCAATTACAAATAACATAACAATAACATTGATTTTCAATAATCTAAATTAAAAAAAACATAACCCGAAAAAAAGAAACGTCAAAAATCAATTCTTCTTCTTCTCAACTAAAATTATAGATCAAATGGTTTTAAAACTAAAATATTATAACGTGGCGCCATCTATCGTAAGAATCTTAAACTAAACACACTGGCAACCATAGAAAAAGCTGGCAACGTTGTCAATAGCCTAGTGACGTAATTAGGAGTTTTTTTGTAAATATCTCGAAAACGGTAAACTCAATTGAAATTCCGATTTCACGGAAATGTTTAAAATTACAAAACGCCTTGAATAAAACCATAAAAAGTATAGGTCAGAAAAAATTTAACTACCCCATTCACTGCTATCTCTCTCTTGCTTACGAGACATTTTTGTTGCAGTTGTTGGTCTCCTCATCTCAGCACTACTTAACCTCATCGACATGGTTGTGTTGGGCAACGCCGCCCGTCTGCGGCGTTTCCTGGTGTACGTTGTTGTTCTTCTAAACGGTATCGTCGTTAGTGTTATAGCACGCCACGTTCTAGGTAAGTATAGTTTAAGGGAGTCTAGATTGTATCACTATTCAATGTTCGCAATTATCAGCAACTAGCTAAACGGAGCAAGGGTTCGGTTCGTGTTTGGTGGCATCGAACAACAAAAAAAATGTCCACTGTCTCTTGCTGTTTGTCTATTATCACCATCTAGAATATTATTATCCTTTGTGATACTCGTTCGGTAGCATTGAGCTACTTGTTTAAATTCTAGTCGAATGTTGTTTATAGTTTTTGTGCCAAAAAAGTACAATTACCACTACCACAAAAAATGCACAATTTATAAAAAATGTTAAACAAAAAATATATTTTCTACACCATATTAATAGCGATGCAACAGAAGTTGAAGCGGAACTTCCGCATCTACCGAAGCTGTTGCAACGCTAATTTCATCCGCGTTTCAACCGAATTTTAAATGAGTAGCCAATGAGAGAATCTCCCACTTTTATTTGATGTGACTTTCTATGTGATAAACCAAAATAAATGTGATAAAATTTTCGATACCAGCAAAGTGACAGCCGAGCTGCTTGCTCCAAACCGCTTAACCCACTATTAGTATTACTACATTTAAGGATGTTAAACTAGTCAAGCATTTTTTAGATAATATTTGTATTATCTTTATTGTACTGGGAGTGCGGAAGTTCCGCATTCCAAGTTTAATGTGCATCAGGTAAACGGTGTGTGCATGTATTTATATATTTAATGTTGACTCATGAATGTTTTGGCTTGGATGTCTCAAATTTATGTTATATACATATGTATAGATAAACAGAAAACGGTTTAACGGGGCATCCTAATTTTAACAAGTTTCTTAAAAAACTATTGTACTTAATTAACGATTAAATCGGATTACCAAAATACATAAAAATGTCTATTTTATACTTCATCGTTACGAGTACGAAATTAATCGACATTTTTATTTAATCTGGCGAATCTCCATTTTAATATACTCATTTTAAATACCTGTGATTTTATAGAATATTGAATATTTTAATAATACATATTAAGGGGAAACAATGTGCTGTTTTTGCGTATATAATCGAAAAACAGATTTCCAGCATCCTGTTTTGTGTTCCCTAATGTATTATGTTTCTTGATGTTTTGTTTTAAGAACTTAAAACTTACGTTTCACCTTTAGGTATCTATTAATTTAACAGACGAAGTAAATACATTGCATTTATTATTTACTCCCCTGTTAAATGAATACCTCATATACCTATTTATACTTATTTATTTTAATTTATAGTTTTTATATTTTCAACATAAATAAATTGTAATATTATTGCCATGTGTTTAACTTCTCCCAATATCAGTAAATTGACAAATGCTTTATAAGGAAGCTACGCCCCTCAATGTTCCTTTACATCAGAAGTGGGATAAGAACTTTTTTCATATTTTTCGTTGTAGATTCACCCCTAAAAAATTTTGTATGAAATTCAAAAACACCCTGTAGATCATCCCACTTCTGATGTAAACATAACACCAACCGTTATGTTTTTATATAAAGTTTTATACCTAGGTAGCTTAGGTGGGCTGATTAAAATAAAAAACATTTAACATTACATTTACTTTATTAGAATTTCTAATATACAACAAATAACAATAATTATTATATAAATATAGTTAGCAATATTCTAAATATATCTAATTATACTTTATATCAATACTCACATCAAAATGTTTAAAACAATAATATTTGAGCACATTTTAAACAATTTTTTTTACCTAAAAACATTTTTAGTAAAAGTGATAAAAGATCCCTAGTCTGGAAGTCTGGGAGATATCTCGTTTCCTATTGGTCGTAAACAAATTTTTTAAAACAAAAAATGTTAAAAATATTTTTTGTCTAAAAACTTTTTTCGTCCGACCAATAGGAGATTGATAAAATTGGCGCCCGAGCAGGGACCATGAAAATTTGGAATAAGATATCCAAAATCTAGTTTTTGGATTTATAAGAATCTTTGTATCACAATCCTGTACAAATGTTAACCTTTAATTTACATAAAAAACATTTAACGATATTTTATAAAAATACATTGTACAGTAATAAATTAAATTGTCGTTTTGGCACATAGATATATTGGTACAATACACCTCAGTTCATCGATTGTATTGTTATAATTATCAAAATTTTTATTGGTAAATCATAACGTGGTGTTTTATTTACGTATTAATCTACTTTTTATAGCTTAATTTTTTGTGAAGAGTACAGTAAAAAACAGGTTTGTTCCTATAAATATCACTGACTGATTTTGACAGTTGATACTCTTGTTGGAACAAAGATAGGCAAGAAAAATGCTGAGATTTATTGTCAATATAATAAAAAAACTAATTTATACAAATTGGTGCGTTTTGTGATAAACTACATATATTATTTTGGTTTTCGCGAATATTCTGCACACAACATTTATTTAACTTTAGATGGTTTAATACAAAAACATTTGAAATAAACGACACCCAAATACAATAATCTAAACAAAATATTACCGATTCGTAATCCGGGTTGCCTACCTACATACATTCGAACAAACCTCTCATTGGCGGCCTTAAAACTTGAATAACTCAATAACTGCAATTTTGCAAAATCTAAAAAATGGTAAAGGAAACTCGTCTTTCAATTCCTTTGTATACATTCATTAGGAGAACATATTTTCGAATTGTAAAAATTGAGTACTAATATATTGTTGCTAAAAATCAGTCTTAACAGGTTGAAATAAATTGAGGGGTACCCTGTGAGTTCAACGAAAAAGTTTCGAGTAATATTGTTATTGACATTTCGTGTGGAACATATTTTGTCATACTTTTATATCCTGTGCTATGGTCAATTTATGTAATTTTAAAGGAATGTAACTTTTGAGTGTTGTCAGATTGTGCGATTTTAAGTTTAATTTTTAGTAGCCTCGGACTTATCTACTGTAACGTAGACCGGCTTGTATAAAACGATTGGTTCCCTGTAAAAAAATACGCGTAAAAAATGAATATACACTCACGTGCAAAATAATCGATCCACACAAATTTTCGATGAATTTTAATCGCAAATAACTTTTTTATTTGATGTCGGATTTAAACCAATATTAAAGAATATTGTAGATAAATTAATGGAAAATCACTCACATTTTAAAAAATACTAAAAAATAGACGTACGTTTATAATATACAGGTTTAAACAAAAATATGTTTTTTACCATAAGTTTAAGACACTCTGTAGAGTGGCAAAACCGTATATTGTTCTAAATTAAGTTTTATTATCAAGTTACATCTATTCTTAACAATTTTGTTTTTGGTTCACCTCGATATATTTTTTTGGAAAATATGGATTTTTTAAAAAACATTGCAATTTCCAATATTTTTCTGTATGAAGAACTAAGGTTGCTATGATCCATCCATAGGCTATGGAGAATGACAGTGACAGTTTTGTTGAATCATCCCATACTTGGACATGTCATATACAGCTTTCAAAAGCTATCAAATTGTTTTTTGTAAATTAATGTGTTAATTTTGAGGTGTCTTCTTACTTTTAAAAATGTTCCCGACTGATGTTGCCCTTTGTACTTTACTTCTTATGACGTTTAAAACACTTGCCACGTAATACTGTGACCGTCCATCCTGGATTAAATTAATGGCTCTGGCAACATTAGTCGGAGACATGTCCATTTTATAAAGTAAGAAGACACCTCAAAATTTAAACATTAATTTGCAAAAAACAATTTGATACCTTTTGAAAGCTGTATATGACATGTCCAAGTATGGGATGATTCAACAAAACTGTCATTCTCCATAGGCTATGGATGGACCATAGCAACTTTAGTTCTTCATACAGGAAAATATTGGAAATTGCAATGCTTTTAAAAAAAATCCATATTTTCCACAAAAATAAATATATCGAGGTGAACCAAAAACAAAACTGTTAAGAATAGATGTGACTTGATAAATAAAACTTAATTTAGAACAATATACGGTTTTGCCACTCTACAGAGTGTCTTGAACTTATGGTAAAAAACATCTTTTTGTTTAAACCTGTATATTATAAACGTACGTCTATTTTTTAGTATTTTTTTAAATGTGAGCGATTGTCCATTAATTTATCTACAATATTCTTTAATATTCGTTTAAATCCGACATCAAATAAAAAAGTTATTTGCGATTGAAATTCATCGAAAATTTGTGTGGATCGATTATTTTGCACGTGAGTGTAGTATTATTCCTACTTACCGTAGGTGATGTTCGTTGCCGTCGTAGACTTGCCCGAGCAAAAATTCAGGGCCGATATACTGACCTCCTTCAACGTGATTGCAAGCAGGCTCTAAAATGTATTTTATGATACACAAGCTTTAATTCTAAATATTGAATTCAAATGGATAAATTTTCTTCCTAAAGAACCCCGCCTTCTACTAACATATTACATTATTATAGGCAACCAACTATACAACTTGGTTGCCTTACAACTTACCATATTTAATTACTGGATTTTGGTTGGAGTTTGGTATTCGAAATGGTACGTTACCAATTGTGATTGGGTAACTAACATTCACAACATCAGTTTCTTTTGCGCTGTCCAAGCTTATCTAAAATTATCTTGGATTAGTTAAATATTAAAATATAAGTGATGTTTACCGTTAATAAGTAATATATTTGGACCAGTCGGCATATCCCCACCAAACTAGTGGGCATTGGAGGTAAAACCAGGCTATTGGAGCTGTCCCATTTACTCCTCGTATGAGGTTTCACGCTACTGCCACTAAAAACGTAATTGTGAGTTTTAAGCGTCCCAGAAAGACACTAGATGTCTTTCTGAAGCTTCAGTTAACATTTAAAGCCATAGGGAAACCAACTTCCCAGCATCCGTGATGCTCTGTGGGAAGTTTGCCTCGAATGAAGTCGCTTATTCTTACCGATACTCGAAGACGAGGTGTTTTATGTCTTTGCTCACTCCTAAAACACCTCTGTCGATGAAAAACTCGCAACACTGTTCGAGCTTGACTCTCAACCAGACCTCGTCTTCGCCTTGATTGTCGATGGTAGCTTTCAGCTTCAAGCTTTCCTTGCAGACGTATGCGGTGCGCTCCATCACGCACCTGAGTTTGATTGTGCCTCTCTTGCAGCACCAGCAACAAGTGCTTTTGCGGTCTTCTAGTACTACAGCTTTCTACGGAGTTTTATAGAGTGTTTTGTCTTTCGTTTAAAACAATTTTTTCTGACCTATACTTTTTATGGTTTTATTCAAGGCGTTTTGTAATTTTAAACATTTCTGTGAAATCGGAATTTCAATTGAGTTTACCGTTTTCGAGATATTCACAAAAAAAAATCTCCTAATTACGTCACTAGGCTATTGACAACGTTGCCAGCTTTTTCTGTGGTTGCCAGTGTGTTTAATTTAAGATTATTACGATAGATGGCGCCACGTTATAATATTTTAGTTTTAAAACCACTTGATCTATAATTTTAGTTGAGAAGAAGAATTGATTTCTTTTTTTCGGGTTATGTTTTTTTTTAAATTTAGATTATTGAAAATCAATGTTATTTGTAATTGATATTAGATAAGTGATTTATTAATAACGGACTTCAAAGCAGAGGAATCTTGTGGAATGGTTGGTTACATTGAACATTGGAGCTTTTAAACAAATAAAGTAAGTACCTATAATTATAATCATATTTTGTCGTAAATGCATTTCATTAGTATAATGCCTAGTTCTTTATATTCTTTTAGATATATCTTGGACTCTAAAATATCAAACAGTAATATGATACCTCGTAATAAGGAAGATAGGTACTTAATGAATTTGGTGACCATCTTTCACTCAACTGCCAGTGACAGTATTTGTACATAACCTCTTCGGGTATTTTCTGACATAGCCGAATGAAATCATTAACAAGACAACTTGACAACAGGGTAATTTTCAACCAATAGAAATCTTAGAATGTTGGTCACATGGCGAGGTTTGTGACGTCATAAAAATTTATATTTTTTGTAAATATCTCGAAAACGGTAAACTCAATTGAAATTCCAATTTCACAGAAATGTTTAATATTACAAAACGCCTTGAATAAAACCATAAAAAGTATAGGTCAGAAAAAATTTAACCACCCCATTATTTACCAAGTACTGCTCCTCCATGCAGTCTATGTGCGGTCCGATTACAGTGAAGTACTTCATGCCTTGAGGGGGGCTGGCATAGGGAACGTCAATAGTGACTTTAAAGTAATATCGAATGTAAACTGGTTTGCTCTCAAACGAACACGGAATACTGGATTCAGGAAGCGAAAATCTGAAAAAACAACGTGTGGAACACACCCCGGCAATATTAACAGTTGGCAGCACCATACCTGAATGGAAATTTGTGCATCCCTCTAGGCAATATTGGAATTGTTGTGTCCAAGTTTTTTTCGCCCCATATAACCTGTCTTTCGTCTATAAAATACTGATCATCTTTAACAGTTCTCCGATCTCCTGAAAGCATCACTTTCCACTCTGCGTGAGCCTTACCCCTTAGAAGTACCCTAATTGCTATAAACGAGAACACATTTACGTTTTTAACAAATTTGCAAAATCGAATTTAGTATAGGAGACTATAAAATTACAGGTCACTGTAGGATAAATTCACGTACATAACCTATAATGTCGAAAGTCAACATTACCTTTCTTACGAAATTTCACAAACTTGAGAGTTTAAATAAGTAAGTACAGAATTATTAAACAATATTTTTAAGATGTACAACAGCATTTCTTTATAAAAAAACATTTGAGGCGCTATAACTGGGAAACGGTTGAGAAAATGTTATCAACAGTATATATATTTTTATAGGTATTTTCATAACCTTCAACTTTTTTATTTGTCATTTTTTGTTTTGATCGATTTTAGAGGGTCTTTCTTACTAAGAACTTAATACAGCTGTAAGCTGTTTTAATAAAAAAAAATGTTTAAAACTTACTGCGCAATTTAAAATTTTCAATCGTATCCAAAATAACAGTTCCATGAATTTGCTCTCCAGCGTAATAATATTCTTTGTCGAGTTTAATATCAAATTCCCTTATATAATCCATTTTGCTGCTGCTTAATTAATTAAAATTAATATAAAATCACAAAAACATTAAACGTTGTATACATATTCAAAAATGATATTTTTCCTATATTCACTAATAATTCGTAGGTAGTCTCACGTTTTTTTTTATATTATTTTGTTTAACGATAACTCTTTTTTATAAATTTATTTAACTGGGGTTACAAGGGTTTTATTATTGTTTTTAGTTTAAATCACTTTTTTTATAATTGTTTCGTTTTAACGGGGGATTTAAAAAAATAGATTTGGCCTTTACAGTGCTTTTTCTCAATTGAAATATCACCATGTCAGCTGATTCCCCAAATCAATATGTATCGAGCATGCGCGATAAAAAATGCGCCTCAAAAATGTTTTCAAAAACAACTGCGTTATAAGTTGCACTGGGAGCCAGGTCTGGAGAATGCGGGGTACAAGAAAAGAAAACGAATGTATTAAAACGTATTTATTCAAGTAAAAAATAAAATACAATTGCTAAAATATATTGAAGATGTCATGTAAAATTATTGAAATAATATCATAAGCATTAAAATAACAATAACGAAGGCAGTAAGCAGAAACAAGTAAAAAAGTATCATAAATAACTATTATAAGGCAAGTATTAATAGACCGACAAAATGTATTAATATAGATTTTTCAGTTATCTACTTCGCTAAAAAAAATTTATGAGCAAGTCGCTTGGTGGCGTAGCAATTGAGAAGCTGGAATCATGTCTGCACAAAATTCGCATGGTAGTTCAACTTCTGGAGAGCTTGGTTGTGGAGCTATGAAGTAGTCGTCTTCTTCTGGGGACTTATGCCTTCTTGGCATTCTAAATGAAAAGATTTTTTAATGCAACCATTATCACGCAAGAGATAAGCATAACATATTGTAGGTACTTACTTACAATAGATGGAAAAGAAAGACAGAGAGAATCTGATTGTGGAGAAGAATGAGAAACACAAGATGGATAGTAGAAGAGAAAATTGATTAGAGATAAGAACAACAACTCAGGAACCATGAGTCTTACACCTCATTGAAGAGTCTGTCTTTAGGCAGAGAGGAGTATATTCAACTGCAAGGCTTTGCCTTTAATATTTGATGATGATTAAGCCAGGAAAAAGTATTTAAATGAAGACAAGCATGGAACCTCACCTTTTAAAGGCTACGCAGACGATAATGGACAATAAAAAGCTCAAAATATAAACACAAGGCATGCAAAACATAAATGAATGATATTTTGATGGGAAGAGACAATCTGGAAGCAGCAGTACATTAAACACAAGATGAATAGTAGAAGAGAGAATTGATTCATTTGTAAGAAAACTGTATGAGCCATATTTACCTATCAAAAGACCAAGGACGAAAAGGTTACTGGAACTATGAGTCTTATGCTTTATTAAGGAGTGTCTTTAGACAGAGAGGAGTAGCTCCAACCTTTAATATTTGATGATGATTAAGCTAGGAAAAAGTATTTAAATGAAGACAAGCATGGGACATAAAAAGCTCAAAATAAAAACACAAGGCATGCACAATATAAATAAATGATATTTTCATATAAATGTAAAGTAAAATGTAGTCTAGATCCGTACTATAGAGTTAGGTATTCTTACCGTCTTGCCAAATCTGGTCGGCAGCCGGTTTGGTGCAAGATAAGATCCTCTTGTAAAATAGACGTATTACAAAACTCGCATGGTATAGTGACGTCACTTTTCCTGCAAAGTGATCTCGGGTAAAATAAAATCATTTAATGTTAAATGATCCATGAATGAATACCTAGTAATTTGCAATGAAAGTTAAAGTTTATCAAATAAAATATCCATTATTTTTTTTTAGTTAACAAAGCAAATACAAACTATTATAATGGAACACGAAAAAAATCATAACCACATTGTTCGTTGTTCTTACCTGGCCAATCTGCAAATATTTTCGTGGTCGACGAGATCCTCATGTGGAAATGTCACGTGACAAAATTCGCACGGTACTGTCAATTCCGTAGGCGGATTTCTCCTTCTCGGAGGTTGAGGTGCTGGACCTAAACAAACGTCGTTTGAAGAGCTCCACCAGCACATTTTGTTAATTTGCATTAAAAAACACACCAAAACAACGTTTTACACGTTCGCATCAGAAGTGGGATAACCCTGTATATCAACGAATTCCATCAAAAAAATGTAGGGGGTGATTGTACATCGCAAAATATGAAAAAAAGTTCCCTGGAAGATTTCGTCAAAAATGCTTTATAGAGAAGTTACGCCCCTTATAAAGCATTTTTGACTGTATGTTATAAGAACCTTTTTTTTGCATTTTACGCTATAAAATCGCCCCTTAATTTTTTTTATGAAATTCTGAAAAACACTGCATATCCCACTTCTGATGCAAACATGAAAAACGACCCCATGCATAAAAACAAACAAATTCTCGTTGAGCAACGTGTAAAAAATTAGTGTTCATCAAATCATGCCGTTAAACACGCATCTAAACCTTTGTTATGATTAAAATGGTTTCTCGGTACTGCCCCGCTATGTCTCAATGGTACCGTTATGCTAGCTGAGTCGTGTAGCAAGTTTCTAATGTACTCGGTCTTACCTAAAATTTATTTATAAAAGTTCAAAAGTGTTTAATTATTAACTAATAGATTTGGTGTGAAAAAACACTAAAGTAGTAAAAAGCAAACCTAAAATTGTGTTACGCATTGCCGTATTTATTTGTATAGGAAGCCATTAAGGTACTTACAGTCTAAACGCCTGGATATTTCCTTGTAACTCTCTCCCTTCTCGATTTTGATGCCCGGTGGTCCCCCAGGCGCTGAATAACTTTGGGGCATGTAGGGCATGGGGTCGTAATCGAAATTGAAGGAGGTGAGAGGCGAAGGTCTTCTACGGGGGGTGTAAGAAGACTCCAAACCGGAAGCAATACCAGAGCTGGATGAGCTTCTTTGAGTGGTAGAGTCCCATGAGGGACGAGGTCCTGGTTCTAGAAATGTGCAAAGTGAAAATTTCATTCTCAGTAGCACTTGATGAACATCCATTTTGCCACAGAATATATACAGTGAGTGTAAAGAAAATGACAGATAAACAGTGTCTCCATTGTTACAAAGGAGTTACCATGTTGAATATGTGTGAGTGCGTTTAGAAGACTAGAGGACCAAATATAATGTTTTCTTCAAGAAACCTTGTGTCAACTGCAAGTCAATACCTTGGTCTCAATCTAACACCCCAAATGGAAAATTAAGTATCGGAAATTTTGGAAGAAGATGAAACTGTTAATACTAAACTAAAAACTACTAAAAACTCACCATCCTTCAACTTCAGAAAACCGTGGTTGGAATCCATGTGAACCTGTTTGTACTTGAACATAACCAACTCCCCGCATTCGAGGCACTTATCGGTTCTGGACCCGCAGTAGTTTTCGTGCTCGTCCAGATCCAACTTTGGCAGCTCTAGATCGCAAAATTTGCATGCCAGCATGCCGCTGCTTTTGGCAGGGGGGTTCACCAAACGGGGAACAGCGCCGTTTTGTACAGGTGGTTTGTTTTTTTCCGCAGGTTCCTTTTTTATGGCAGCAGATGGCGGTGGGGTTCCCCTGAGGTTTTTGTCAGTGGAAGATTGTCTGGTGGGTGAGTTTAAACTGTAACCAGTGTCCACCAGACGTTCGTGCTTCTGAAGATATCTGTTGAAGAGGATTGATTACACTTAACACTATGGTTTCGCGTAAATATCGAACAAATTTTTGACATTTGTTTGCAAGTGATGCCAGAATTGAATATATTTTTTTAACCTTGTTTCTACATCTAAATGGTGCATTAAAAAACAATTCATCCATTGACTGCTGTGGTTTTCAGGTCTTAAGTCAAATTTCGATATAAATCGATGTCTTTCGCGATTCCCTAGAAACTTCTAACGGACTACGTACGTGAAACACCCTGTATATTAAACGTCATTTATGTCATTTATGCTATACCTAATTATTAATAAAAGATACAACAATATTTGTATAAAAATGACAAGATGTAATGATCTAAACATTTATCAATACTGCTACTGCTAATTCAAAACTGATCCTGGCCACAGAAACATCATTTGCATAAAAAAGTTAATATATCAAATAATAGTCAAATATCAATACTTCAACGTGTTATACTCAAATTAATAAAACAAAGCCCAAGCAACAATTTCAGTATTTGTTACGTATATGGGACTATTGAAGAAACTTAAAAGTGTTTTGCGACAGTCGCCGGTCTCTTTATATTACTCTTTAATTACTACGTTACGACTAAAGTGGGGAACAATTATTGAGTTCCAAAAAGGTAGCAAATATGTCACTAGCTATAAACCCCGCTACTATTTGGAACGTAGCTGCTACGTTACTAGAACGTTCCAATATCGTTGCTAGAGCGTTATAATTACTTTTATTTATTTGTTTTTACTTCTATATTAACTGTCTTTGTCAAACTTATATTAGATTATACTATCCCTCCTTTTTTAAATGGAACCACTACGGACTTGGCTTTTCAATGTCGTCGTTTATTAAATATGTACTGGTAGTTTATAACTTCCAGAATAACAATATAATGTTTAATTAGGCAGGTAAATTTATGAACCCTTTAACTTATGAATTTAGTTTTTGTTAAATAAATGCGCTTCATCAATATTTAAGTATAAACAAATTATTTATTTAATAATGTTTATAAATAAAAAAATCTTAATATTTATTATTAATTTTTTTATTTAATTATTAATACCGTCTATTACCAACAAAATTACTATTTATTAAAAAGTAAACATTCATTTACAAACAATTAAAATAATTTATTATTTACATTACCACGTGGTACTGTACAATAAAAAATGGCCGATAAGAAGCATTTTCCTTTGAAGTAGTTTTCGCTACTTTAAAGTTTTTTCCACTTTACGGTTGTTTTGGTTAGTATCATAAACGTTCCAAATACTAAAATAATAACTTTTAAGTTATTAACTTTGTAGTTTTTAACTCATGTTCCAGTTTCAAGATTTTAACTTGCAAAGGGACTACAATTAATTAATTATAAGTAAAAAAAACTTTCAAGTAAATTTAATTTGTAGCAGTTACTTTCGGTTGCTACCTAAAGATTCCATTATAATTATTTTTACTTTAAAGTAAAAATAATTATAATGAAATCTTTAGGTAGCAACCGAAAGTAACTGCTACAAATTAAATTTACTTGAAAGTTTTTTTTACTTATAACACCTTTTTTAAAGTTGCAAAGACTTCTTGGGGGCAACCAAGTTTTACTTAAATGTATATTACTTTATAGTAACCATTTAAGGAAAAATTAAGTTTCTGTTACAAAATATTGCTATTTAAAAGTTAGAATTAATTACTTTTAAGTAAAAAATTAAAGTATCTGTTTAGTATTCTTAACTAATTTAAAGTTATCACCACTTTGGCAATGGTTTTTGGAACCAAAAATGCTGCTTGGGAGCTGCTTCTTTGATTATTTACCCTTCAAAAATTGTTAAATTTTAAATTAAATTATCACCAGCGCCCCCTGTACATTAAAATCTAAACAAAATAAAAAAAAAGTTGTCAATGGACGAAATTTTTTTACTAGATTTAGATGTAGAAATAAGGTTAAAAAGTTTAGTGTCTTAAGTGTTTTTATTCTTACCTTTCCTTTCTATTGGCGATTTTTTGATCTTCTACAAGCTTCCTTTCTTGGAAATACGAACTCTTCTCCAACGTTGTAGGTGGAGGTGCAGGTTTTTTGATCACCTTGGTTTTTTCGCATTGTTTTTTGTGATCGTCGAATTTTGATTTTGGTATTGGCTCGTTACAAGATTTGCACAATGTGATGTTTCTAGCGCAATGCGCTGTATGCATAACATAGTTGTGCTGTGGAATTTCTTTTTTGCTAAAAATAAAAAATATTCATTTTATATGTAGGTAACTAAACTGATATTCCATTAAACTCACCAGTTTGCGCACAATTCGTGCTCAACTTCTCTATCCATATTTATCAAACAATCAAACGAAAACTACAACAAAAGATTTTGTTTAAATTTTGGCACACAAAAGAACAATTTAAGCAATACAATGCATTCAAACGTGCCCTCGATTTAACACTGAACCGAAGTTTCTACAAAAAGATCGACGCGTTATTTTTAGCGGGCACTATGACTTGATTTCTAAAGATATTCCACGCGTATTTTTGGCAACTTTTATTAAACCATCAAAACTATTTTCTGTCGCATCACAATTGTGATTAAACGGCTCACGAGCTCGTTCGAATAAACTATTAACAAAAACATTAAATTATTAATAAAGTTCATTTTTTTATCTGGACGCGGCAACGTTGCAAATTTAAGGGTTTGGTTGGTAAATACGTAACCAAAATTGGTTGCATTAGGTGCTTTCCTTTCATTTTTGAAGTGAGCCAAGCAAAAGTGAGATAAGCGAGGCCACTTACGCGCACTCATCTTACCTAAAATAGACCAAAGGAACGGTCGGTAAGCCTATTTTCTCTAAAAGTGACACTTGACAGTTTAACCCTTAAGCCTGAATTATAGATTGCCTTCCTTCCTTCCTCCCGTAGTCGTGCCCGTACGGTACGGGAATCTATAACTGGCAATACGATTTAAAAAAAACATTTTTGACGTAATTGTCACCATTAACATTGCCCGTTATTAATTTTAATTAAACTTAACAATTATTGATAATTTAAAATATTAAAATTACTTAAAAATATGATTTTGTTAAGAAAATATTTTATTCTTTGATTTTTTTTATTACTATAATTGCAAAATATTTTATTCTTTGATTTTTTTTATTACTATAATTGCAAAATTTTATCACAAAGTATTAAAAATACCTAAACGGAAAATGTTAATGGTGACAATTACGTAATGTTCATCTTCTACGGGAGGAAGGAAGAAAGGAAGGCAATCTATAATTCAGGCTTTATGTTCTGTGGTTTAACCATTTCCCTCAACGGTTTAACGCAAAGATTAAAGACTTAACGAACAAAATGTCGAATTAAATAATACAGGTAGTTAAAAATATAAATCCAATTTAAACAATAATACATACCTTTTTTTTTATTCTTTAATTTTATAGAATGTAATATTCAGCAGCGATTCTGAAAATACTAGTTTAATCGTATCGTATCATCGTAATCGTAAATTACTATTTAAATAGTCATACCTACAATTGTAGGTATTCTAGTCGCCGAATGAATCATTCAATTTGAAATCCGAATGAAAATATGCGATTAATAATCGCGGATTACTTAACGGCGATTATTAATCGCATACTTTCATTCGAATTATCAATTCGATTAAATTATTCCGATATTGAAATCCGAATGAAAGTATGCGATTTATAATCGCCGATTATTTAATCGAATTATCATCCGATTATTGAAATAATCGTATCGGATATAATCGGTTATTGATATAATCCGATTATGCCCATATTATTGTTTTAATTTTCTTCTGTTTTGTTTGATAGAAAGTGTACAACCTCACTTTTTGGCGTGCATCTATCCCCACCACCAAGTAATCAAAATTTCTCATTTGTAAGTGTGCTCCGGAGGTTGTGCTTGATCGGTAAGGGGGGAGGTAAAATTCTCACTTTGGCTTACCTGTCATTTTGCAAATGGAACGGTCCCTAAAGTGAGATAAACCAAGGTGAGGTAAGAATATCTAAGAATCGTGGCAAAAGGAAAGCACCTATTGATTATAACAAACTAAGCTAGTTATAAATGTAATTGTGGTTATGTTTAAATTATTGTAGGTTACATTGAACAGTTGTCAAGTTGAGTTGTCAAAATTCGTAGTTACAAATGCAATTAGTAACTTGCAAATAGAAAAAAAAAGGTTTAGTAATTATTGCTTATCTTTTTCAAACCAAATTGATGCTATTTTCAAAGTCAGGATCGATATTATATAATAATTAACAAGTAAATTATCAATAATAAATATTACTGTCAATTTGACAGTGACAGAATATTTAATTAACGTCTTCAGCAGAAGTACCATTTTTTAAATACTAAAAATACTAAATCAAACTGGCATAAGCTACCAACTTAATAAAAAAAGAAATTTGGCAACGTCTCAAAAAACTCCCAGGATATGGTTATTTTTTGATTTCTTTTATCAAATGATAAGATAACAATTAAATATTATTAAATAGGTAGCAGAAACAATATTTTACTTGATAAAACTCCATTTTAATGGTATTTAATACAATTAATAAAATGACATTATTTCAATTAAACCTAACCTAAAGTTGATGTGACAAAATCATATCTCTGGACAAAATTTAAAGAATCTGCAGGAAAACCTTATTAATTACCTCTAACTAAATCTACTGCATTGGCTGGTGTTTCAGCTATTATATAAACTTTGGTCTATTATTGGTTAATACCTATCTGAAAGGTATTTTAATACATTTAATACATTAATTATAATTATACCTATTGTAAAGATATTATTAAAAAAATAAACGTACTTACCTAGTAATATAAAATGTACGTTTCAGCCACAGATTATAAAGGTTTCAGCTACACTACATCGCTTACTAAGCAAGTATTTTAATGATAAGTTTCGCGATAAAATTTTTATGATAGCACAGCATAGAAAACCAAAACAGTCTGTAATAAGGGACTTCCCTAGAAAGTGTGGTTCCAGTTCCTTTAGTTTTTAACAGGAAAATATTTGTTTAATTTTAAGTGTTTTTTAATAATCCACTGTTATTGTTGTTGACAACTAAGTCATAAATATTGAATTGTGTTCCATTAATAATTAATTTTGTTTATATAAAGGTATGCAACCGATTTTACACCCGGCCAAAAATCAGCATTTGTAGATAAAAATAATTTAGAAAGAGAATTGAATAAAAAAATAATCCATCTGATATTATTTAAGCGGGTAAAAGTGGTTTTATTCTAAAATTCAAAAAATTATATATGTATACTTTATACGGCAGCGCCATCTATGTAAGGATTGCTGAACAAAATATTTCGCTGTTTAGTTCAGCCAAACTTAAATAGATGGCGCTGCTGATATAAAATGTTGTAGGTAGGCAACAAGATTACTTTAAAACGTATTTTTTTTATAATTTTGATGTTTTCAAGATCTACAACTTTTCTTTTAAACTTTTTTAGTTTTAATCAATTTTAAAGGGGTTAAAATAGAAAAAACTAAAAACAAGGGAAGAAAAAAAACAACTATAAATATTTATTGTTTTAATATAAAATCACATATACTTGGTATATTTATTAAAAAAACTAACTAATACAATAAAATAACATAATAAATGCAAAAAGAGGAAATGTAAAATAATAGTGATAAATAATATATTTTTAAGTACAAAAAAATATAAATTTGGATAACTCTCGCAATGTTTTAAAAAATATATACACCCGTTATGTATTTTAAAAAGATTGCAATCAATAAATAGGGCAAGACGTTTTAAAATATTTGAAGAATTAATTAATTTTCGTAAACTATTCATTTAAAATTAATTGATAAAAGCAAGACATGCACATCATAAAAAATAAAATACCTACGAGATTATCACAATTTTAGGCCATAGTTGCAGTGTTAGGATTGGCACTCCATTTATCTTTGTGCTGGTCCAGGCCAAATCCGGACTCGTAATTTCCCTTGGAAATGAATAACCTTTTAAAATGCGGAGTGCAGTACAAAAGACCTTGGTTATAGGAATATGAGTCCATCCTGAAATTTTAAAAATGCTGGAAAGTTTGAATTTTGTCCCTTTTTTATTTTTGACGAATTTATTGTTAGTAATAATAATAATAATAATAATAAAGTACCGTAAAACGCAGTTGCATTCCATACATTTGAAACATTTTTTATGGAATATTTGTCCGTGTACGGAAATTTTCTCCATTGGGTATACTTTGTTTTTACAGCTTTGACACACCTCTTGATTGTTAGAAACATCCTAAGTGATTAAAAAACAAACGGAACGTTCATGTATTGCACATTTTATAAGTATTATTACTTTAAGTATGTCCCTACTCGGGCGCCAGTTTTTGAAGTTTCCTATAGGTCGCACAAAAAAAGTTTCAAGACAAAAAACGTGGAGCTCGAAATTTTGAACATGTTTGTTTTCAGGCAAAACTACATGTATTTAGTTCCTGCAAAGATAGAGGGCGCAATAGTTGACAAAATTTGTTTTTTCGTATTTTTACCCTCTAAATTTGAACGAAACAAAAAATGACAAATAGAAAAGTTGTAGATCTTAAAAATATCTACAAAAAATATAAATAGTACTAATACGATTAGTACTAGTACGTAGTTGTTTGTTTTGACACTTTGATGTACAAATTGACCATATTTTTTATATTTTTGTTGATTTTCTTGCGTTAAATAAAATCAAAAAATACGTACATAGATTTTTATTCACTCAAAAAAATATTGGCACAATAATATTATTTATTTAATCTAAAAAAATATCGATAACAATTATTTAAAATATGAAAAAATTTATATAAAAAGAACTACCTACATAACACATATCGTGTCTAGAAACTGACTATGTTGTAACACTTAAATATCTATGTATAGGTAATTTTTAGACAACAAATATTTTTTACAGAAATAAACACACTTGTTGGGGTTTTCTGTGTATATACCTTTGAAAGTTAAAAATGCTTTAAAGTAGAAAACCCATAAATAAAAACAATTAAATATCTATTAATTTAAACATTGGAGTCAACGTCTATTTACAAAAAACAATTGTTTAATAGCACGGTAAATTACAAAGAAGTCTATATATAAACACTAAAACTATTTATTACTTTAATGATGCCAGTAAAAATTCTTTTATTAGTACAATATTAAAAAAAGATCCTTATATCTCCGGATGATCACTTGAGGTTTACTGGAAAAAAATGTATTTTCAATTTTTTTTGTCAACCTCTAAGTTTTAGAAGTAAAAGTTTCCCATGCAAACTTTGCAATAAATTATAAAACAACCATGCAAATGCAAATAATAATAATTAGTGCCAAAAACGAAAAAAAAAATTGCAAAAATCAACAAAAATATAAAAAACATAACAGGAAGCTAGGAGTACAAAACAAAATTATAGTGAGAATAATAGTTAAGCCTCAATACTTTTAAAGTTAAATTAATAACAAAACAAAACTATTATTTTAAAATGCAAAAATGCTAGGGTAAAAAAATCGCGATATAAATAAAAAAAAAATTTGCTTACCACAAATCTGTTGACTTTCACTCTTGGCGTTGTTCTTACTTCAGAAGATGAATCCTTCATGTTTTCGAATCTGGCTCTCAATCTAAAGTGAATAAGTGAATAAAATAACCTCACTTTACAAGCCATTAAACTATGAACTCAAAACATTAATTTATCAAAACGAATAAACTAAATAATAATTGTAGACAGTGTCAGCAAGCTAGAAATTATAACCTACTTTATTTTTACGTACGTGAAACACCCTGTATATTAAACGTCATTTATTTAATTATTAATAAAAGATACAACAATATTTGTATAAAAATGTCAAAATGTACTGAACTAAACATTTATGAATACTGCTACTGCTAATGGGGTAGTTAAATTTTTTCTGACCTATACTTTTTATGGTTTTATTCAAGGCGTTTTGTAATTTTAAACATTTCTGCGAAATCGGAATTTCAATTGAGTTTACCGTTTTCGAGATATTTACAAAAAAAAATCTCCTAATTACGTCACTAGGCTATTGACAACGTTGCCAGCTTTTTCTATGGTTGCCAGTGTGTTTAGTTTAAGATTCTTACGATAGATGGCGCCACGTTATGATATTTTAGTTTTAAAACCACTTGATCTATAATTTTAGTTGAGAAGAAGAAGAAGAATTGATTTTTTGACGTTTCTTTTTTTCGGGTTATGTTTTTTTTAAATTTAGATTAATGAAAATCAATGTTATTGTTATGTTATTTGTAATTGATATTAGATAAGTGATTTATTAATAACGGACTTCATAGCAGAGGAATCTTGTGGAATGGTTGGTTACATTGAACATTGGAGCTTTTAAACAAATAAAGTAACTACCTATAATTATAATCATATTTTGTCGTAAATGCATTTCATTAGTATAATGCCTAGTTCTTTATATTCTTTTAGATATATCTTGGACTCTAAAATATCAAATACCTCGTAATAAGGAAGATAGGTACTTAATGAATTTGGTGACCATCTTTCACTCAACTGACAGTTCGGGTATTTCCTGACATAACCGAATGAAATCATTAACAAGACAACTTGACAACAGGGTAATTTTCGACCAATAGAAATCTTAGAATGTTGGTCACATGGCGAGGTTTGTGACGTCATAAAAATTTATATTTTTTGTAAATATCTCGAAAACGGTAAACTCAATTGAAATTCCGATTTCACAGAAATGTTTAATATTACAAAACGCCTTGAATAAAACCATAAAAAGTATAGGTCAGAAAAAAATGTATACTTACGACCTTGTTGATTCAACTTGCGACTGTTCCTCGCTGTACTCCTCTACTATGTTCACTGAATTGCTTTGTTCCTTTCTGACTTCTTGGGCCTCCCATTTCTCGAACTTGGCCCTAAGTTGCTTCGCTCTTGCGGCTTTTTGAGCCTAATAATTTCGTTATTATAAAACCTAGGACGAATGAATTTAACTTTTAAGTTCACTTACTTCAACTAGATCGCTGGGGATTCGGGAGTTGTCCACTTCTTCCTCTTGTTCAGACTCTTCTTCCGATCCAGACTCGTCCTCACTGTTACCTTCAGACCTCGCAGGTTCCGGAGGAGGAGTGAACCTCTTCAGAGGTTTAGGACCTAAAATTATTCATACCGACAGTGACGCAACGTTACTTAACCTCGTTGATATCGTTCACCTTGTGGTGTCGGTTCTCTGGACAAATTCTCCTCCATCTGCCTGAACTTGTTGAGCATTTTACTGGCGGTATGAGATTCCTTGGCAACGACTGTATCCTCCACGATTTCCTCAGAACGCACTACGTCCGGGTCTCGGTACAACTCCCTCTCAGGAGTTGCAGCCTAAATGGCAAAATTCGATTCGATATTTATCACCGTCAAACCAAACAGAAGATTCGTCAAACAAATCAAACCTCACACTCAAAAAACGTTAAGATCAAGGATTAGGGTGGTCCACACTTGCATGGAGAAAAAACAGAGCAACCAAAAGTTGTTTCATGTTTCAAGACGACTTCCTAGTGGATAAGATTGTTCCCGAATAATGTGATGCGTTTTTAGAATGTTAAAATGTCAAAAACACATTTTGGCGTGTCAAACACAATATAGTATATCAAAAACACTTTTTCGAATGTAAGGCCCTTACTTTAGAATATCAAAAACACTTTAGATTGTTGGAGTTTTAGACAAATGTCAAAAACACATTTTAGAATGTCAGACATACTTTAGAATGTTTTAAAACACATTTAAATTATAATACATTCTAGAATGTCATAATTACTTTAGAATCTCAAGAACACTTTTTAGGATGCCAGACATATTTTAGAATGTCAAAAACACATTTATAATGTCACACATACTTTAGAACGTCAAAAACACTTTTTGGAGTGTCATTCTTTTCCTTTTGAGTTTCATATATACTTTAGAATGTCAAAAACACATTTTAGAATGTCAAAAACACATTTTAGAATGTCAAAACACATTCTAGAATGTCATAATTACTTTAGAATCTCAAGAACACTTTTTAGGATGCCAGACATATTTTAGAATGTCAAAAACACATTTATAATGTCACACATACTTTAGAACGTCAAAAACACTTTTTGGAGTGTCATTCTTTTCCTTTTGAGTTTCATATATACTTTAGAATGTCAAGAACACATTTTAGAATGTCAAAAACACATTTTAGAATGTCAAAACATATTTTAGAATGTCAGTCATACTTTATAATGTCAAAAACACATTTTGGAATATCAGACATACTTTAGAATGTTTTACAACACATTTAAATTATAACAAGAATGTCAAAAACACTCTTTGGAGTGTCAGACATATTTTAGAATATCAAAAAACATTTTAGAATGTCATAATTACTTTAGAATCTCAAAAACACTTTTTAGGATGTCAGACATATTTTAGAATGTCAAAAACACTTTTTGAAGTGTCAGATATACTTTTGAGTTTCATATATACTTTAGAATGTCACAAACACATTTTAGAATGTCAAAACATATTTTAGAATGTCAGTCATACTTAGGGTTGCCACCTTTTAAGCTTGGGGTTGGAGGACATGGACATTTTTTAAAAGCCCGCTTCAAAAATTTTTACCAAAAAAAGGGGGCGTTGCCAAATTCAAAACAAGTTCAACAGAAATGACCAAGGACCGATCCCTTGCAATATTAACTTTATTAACTAGAACATTAAAGTAATAACTTGCAGTCAGATAAAAATAATAACAAACCTAGTAAATAACCCAGACTGCAATGAAGGTGCGAAAATATTCCAGGAATATGCCCTATAATCTAGGAATAATCCGCTTCATTCTAGGAATATTTAGTGGGAATATTCCATAGAATGATCCTCTTAAACTTCCAAGCACCATCTAAGAACATTCCCACTGGGAATTTCCCAGTGAATATTCATAACGCATTTTAAAAAGCACTAGGCAACCCACTATACAGATACCGGCCAACATCATTTTTTATTGTTTGCAAGCCTGTTATTTTATTGGTTTACCGAGAAAAATGTTTTTGTCAGAGCACAATAAAATACATAGAAAGGAGGACATATTTCATTTAAAGGAGGACGAAGGACGTGATCTTATCAAAAGAGGACTGTCCTCCACAAAGGAGGACAGGTGGCAACCCTAGTCATACTTTATAATGTCAAAAACACATTTTGGAATATCAGACATACTTTAAAATGTCAAAAACACATTTAAATTATAATGGCGTACATAGTTTAAACACTTTAGATTGTTGGACATACTTTCGAGTTTTAGACAAATGTCAAAAACACATTTTAGAATGCAGACATACTTTAGAATGCTTTAAAACACATTTAAATTATAATAAGAATGTCAAAAACACTCTTTGAAGTGTCAGACATATTTTAGAATATCAAAAAACATTTTAGAATGTCATAATTACTTTAGAATCTTAAGAACACTTTTTAAGATGTCAGACATATTTTAGAATGTCAAAAACACATTTTGGAATATCAGACATACTTTAGAATGTCAAAAACACATTTAAATTAAAATGGCATACACTTTAGATTGTTGGACATACTTTCGAGTTTTAGAAAAATGCCAAAAGCACATTTTAGAATGCAGACATACTTTAGAATGTTTTAAAACACATTTAAACTATAATAAGAATGTCAAAAACACTTTTTGAATATCGAAACACATTTTAGAATGTCATAATTAATTTAGAATCTCAAGAACACTTTTTAGGATGTCATAATTCTATTTGTCTCATATTATAACACATTCATTTGTCTCATATTATAACACATTCAGAGGTCCTTCTGGAGTTTCAGAGGTCCTTTGAAGTGGCCTTGAACAACGCATTAGTGTGACTTAAAACTACAGAAAAGACGAATACACTACACAATAGAAGTGTGAGATATTCAAAAAAACTCCACTTGGAATTAAACCTTCCTATAATGAAATAATGAAGATGCAATGGTAAAGAATTACTGAAAACACCACCTGCAAAGCGTCCGTAAAAAATGAACCACCCTGGGGATTATATAAAGTTAGTTTATGCATCAAAAGTCGTGTTACTGTGAAGCTGTTATTGGAAGAGAATATTGTTAATGTTATGTACAATTTGGATTATATTATTTTTTTATTTTTTAGTTCACACCAATAGATCAGTGTATTAACCTTGACTTGCCCCTCTCGGGGCGGCGTGATTCTAAACTGTTTCCTATTTTTTTCCGGTTCTTTGTAAGTCTCGAAAAATTTAAATCGCTCCTGAATGTCGGCGGTCTTAACCTCAATGTCCTCGACGGCCTCGCCCGACTTAACCGTGTCTTCCGAGGATACTCTATTTAAGTACGCCTAGGAAGTGCATTCAGATTTTAGCGATGTTTAGTCGGTAAAACGATGAAATTTTTAAAAAAATTATTTGACTTACCTCTCTGGCTTTTTTTATTTCCACTCTAGGCGGGGAAACTGGCGAAATTTGCGGTGCTTTTGACGCGTTAGCATCCAGTTCCAAGAACAAAGATCTCGATTTCTTGCTGATTTCTAAAAATTTTTTTTTTTTTTTTTTATGTTAATTTTGTTTTTTTTTTTGTACCACTCACCGCTTTCGTACACTTCTTCTTCTTCATCGCGTTGATCTCTATTTTGATTCTCATTCAGAGTTTCTCCCTTCTCGAACCTGTCCTTTATGGATTTAGCATCGAAATCGATTTTTTCGGAACTTTTTGCTTTCGTGGAGCTTTCAGACTCGATTACGGCCTGTTGGTACATCTCCTTCATTTTTCCTTGCTTACCCTTCAAAAAACAACACAATCCATGATGGACGCTGAGTGAAGAAATTAGAAGGAAAATGGAGATGGAAGAGACATATTAAAAGTAGACCTGGCAATGAGAATGAAGGACGGGCTCTGGAGCAACAGAGACAAATGGAAAAATTGCTTGATAGAAATGGAGTTCTGCAAAGGAAGTTCCGGATTAACCAATGAGGAAGTTGGAAGAAAAATGAAGACGGAAAAGACTTATTAGAAGAAGAATTGAAAGAAGAGACGTGGACTGGACTTGGGATATAACTTACCATAAACAACCTGTTTCTGATGCTCTGTATCTCCTGTTTGCGCTCCTCTCGTCTCTCATCCTTCCCGTTCTGTTCCCCCTTCTCCCAGCGATTTTTGACATCCGACATCCCGGTAAAGTGGAACGGTTTCTCTTTTTGAACTTTTTTCGCCCTAACAAGGTCGGCGTCTTCACCGTCTACTTCTTCCTCAACCTCCTCGTCTGAGGAGCTCTCCTCAATCGGGATACCGTTAAGAGAGTCGTCAGCTACCCCTACGTCCATTCCTTTGGCTTGAAACCTAACCCAACATATCTCCGTTAATAACCAAACCAAAGTGCTTTCGATCACTTTTTACCTTGCCAACTTCGATAAAATAGATGGGGACCGTTTAACGTTAACAGGTTCCCTGCTGTCGCTTTCGTAAGTTTCATGTTGATGTTGCTCGAAAACTTGGAACCTCTCTTTAACATTCAAACTTTGCAACTCTTCCAAACCGAGGTCGGGTTTATCGCTGGCTAAAATAATTTGTTACGTACACGAAAAGATAGTGAAAGGTACATTTGTACTCGTAGCGTTTGCGTTGGTGTAACAGTTGTGTCAAGACTTACGAATGAAGTATAGTGTGTTGTTTGCTCCGTCGGTACCGAAATAGCAGAGGTCTGTAATATATGGTCTTGACACGACTGTTACACCAACAGTATTTAAGAAAAAAATGTATTAAGAATTAGGGTAAGTAAATATTTTCATGCTTCAAACAAACACTTCGTTTGTTTTCTTGTTAGTGTTTTATTAGTTAAATAAATAAAATGAAAATATGTAGGTATTAATAAAAAATCTATTGGCGTTTTTATTTAATAGTATATTTTGTGTCAAGTACTCTTATCTATAAAAGTTTCAAATGCAATACTGACGACTGAAAAAAACGATTTCAGAGAAAGTTCTTTCAACACTGATTGAATACAGCGCCACCTCTCCGTCAATACAAATTCGAGCGGTATTATTAAAACACTCTTCCCCACTCTTTAAAAAATATTTCAATATGAGATAATTATGAATGAATTAAAATATTTTTCGATTGGGACAAGCAAAAATAATGATAATACAACAACGAAAAACGAGTGTTAGTTTTAACGAAATAAATGCAACACCAACACTCTCATCTACCTCTGAAAACGCCTGGAGGCAACTCTAAAGGTTGATTTTCACGAATAATCAATTCGTTCTTTCTAGGTTTGGCTGAAATGGGTTTTAAAATATGTATCCACCACCACACCCCAAAATTATTGTCAAAAAAATACTTACGGGCATTTTGATCTTCTTCTACGACCTTCGGGGCGAACAAAGACTTAAAGTGAGGTTTACAGTAGAGATTCCCTTCGTTGCTTTGATACGTGTCAAAACTAAACATAAAATAAACAATATACCGTTTATTTTTTAGCTTTTTTAACTCGGACTTACTTTAATTGTTTGTTGCATTCCGTGCACCTGAAACAATTTTTGTGCCAGATCGCTTTCTCAGCCTTGATTTGCTCCATTTGAAACACGGTTTTGTAACAGGCCTTGCAATTGGTCGTGTCAATTTGAGTGCCCTGCAAAATATTATACGTAACGTGTGACATCACCTTAACGGTATCGTTGACAGTTTTTAGGTTATGTCGACAATCATCACGTTATACCTACATTGAATTTGTCTTGAGCGCCTGCGGCATCGGACGATCTGACGTGAAGAACGTTTTTCTTCTGAAGAGCGTCGAATTTGTTAAAGCTGGATTTCTACGAGCAAAAAACGAACCGTCAATTTCCCTACTTTTTTACCATCGTCGATTTATTTATTTAGTCAAACTGTGCCCTACATCCAAAAATTTTTAGGGAGCTGCGTTGTATGGGAAAAAATCAGAAGTGGGATCTACATTGTTTCTCTGAATTTCTTTAAAAAAAATTAAGGGGCGATTTTTCAGCGCAAAATATGAAAAAAAGTTCTCATACACGTGCGGTCGAAAATGCTTTATAACGGAGCTACGCCACTTTGAAGATGGCAGTCAACATTTACATTTTATTTTTTTTATCTTAGATGTACTTTAACATGTTATTGGAAACTTTTTTTTTAATTTGCGCTGTTGAATCACCCTTTATAGTTTTTCGATGGAATTCAAAGAAACCCTGCGCCTCCATCCCACTTCTGATTATACAGTGGATCTTCAAGGCAGTAGACACGAGTAATAATGTAATATTATTTAGTATAACCTCAAACACAAACTTCAACTTACCAAATCCTTTTTAATATTACTATTAATAGCATTCGCCAATTTTTGGTTAAATCGCTCCCTCTATACGTGTTACATTTATATGCCATGCACATGCAAAAATCTAGCGTTAGTTACAACAAATACTAAACAAAAAAACCAAATTTTTCAAAGTTGATTGAAAATTTTGAATTTTTCGAATTAATTCTTACCAAAGCACTGACACAAACTCCTGAGAACACGTTCTCAATTTTTTTGTTATTTGGGGTTACTGTTACGTCATTTAACGACTTTGTTCGCTAGAAAAAGCCAAATTAAAAAAAAATACATGCATGTTAGGTATGATTAAAAACGTACAAATCCTTTTCATGACAACAGCCATAATTTGGCCATCATACCCATATTATTTATTACTCTAACTAAAGTAGATGTAATAAATTAAAAAAAATAGAAAAATTGTCATAAAAAGGACTAAAACTAGCCAAGATTAAATAACTTTTAGAAAGCATATTAAAAATAACTTTAAGAATGAATTTAGTGAGTGCAATATGAATTATTAATAAACTCGCTTTGCATCTAAAAATTATTTTGAATTTGAATTTCGTAAAACTACTGCAGAAGATTGATTTTTATTTATAATATGAAGTTTAAGGTTGCCTACCTACATTCTAACAAACGCATCGGACAGTCCGATGCGTTTGTACGAAGGTAGGCAACCACGATTACAATTACTTTGATTTTAATAAAACAAAAGTATTCAGAAAGGTGGCAGTAGAATTAAGAATTAAAATAAATTAAAAAATCTTACCCCTCGCTCGTTAGACATTTGTTTAAACTTCCTACTTGTTAGATATGTTTCGTTATCGATTTTTGTCAAATCGCCAAAACTTCTACACTGTTAGAAAATGCGGCAAAAACAAACAAAAATCGCACATTAATTTACATGCTTCGAGCGGCCTCCAAAACTCAACAATAACTTTGCAAACATTTTTTATTGGTGTGACGGTGAAATTAAGTACTCACATATTTTTTTCACCATTATGTTTCTTATTTTGTCAACGCATGGATTAGAAAATGTTTGTGGCCAAAAGTGGAGCAGATAAATATAAAGTGTTTATCAAGTTGATGGCCGAAGGTGATGAAAGTGTTAAAAAAATACCCGAAGCCTATGGCAACGGATACATCGTTACCTCCCGGCCAATAAAAAGGTGTTTGCACAGTTATTTTTAGAGAAAAATGTTTTACTTGGATACTCACCAAATTTTTAACATTAACATTGTAAAAATTTTCAGAATTGCCTTTGTTCTAAAATAAAATTAGTAGAAAACAAAAAACAAAACAAAAAATACGGTTAAATTATAATTCGAAGCGAAACTAAGCAAAACAAACCGATAAAAAACAAAAACTTACAACGGAAATATTTTCCTTTTCCTCTTTTCTAGATTTTTTTGACTTTTTCTTTTTTAGTCCTTTCTCCCCTATTTGCCCGACCTCCTCAATTGTCGTCGATTCTGAGTACGACTCAGTTACAGTGCTCTAAATAAATAAAATAATCAAATAAAAATAATAATCAAACACGCAATGAATAAATATAGAAATAACGGTAAATTAATTCGTATTATTTAAGCGAAACATCAAATTAAAAAAAACTACACAAAAAAAATCTGCATGCTTTCACTTACGTGTGCAGTTCGGGGTAATTATTGAAAAAATTTTCCTGTTCAATAAACCTAATCGATAATCGTGATTCTCACAAGAAATACTTTTTAATCTTACAAGGGTGGCCCAAGAAAAACGTCTCTATAAGATTCATTTGTTTCTAAGAAAAAGAAGAAGAAGAGCTCCGGCCATATCTATAGATTTAACTCCCTTAGACTATTTATTGAGGGGTCATTTAAGAAGTTAAATTTACGCAACAGACTATTGCGAGACCTTTCAAATAAGGTATCGCGCCCCTGTTTCGTTTTCTTTGGCTCACCCGGTATGTAATAGAGGTCCATTTATTTTTGAAGTGAAACTTCACGACAAAACACAAAGTGCTTAAAGTGTAACTAAAATCTACCATAAAAACTCAATGGAGTTTATCGAGAAAGTCAAAAGTGTTGCACTGCAAGACAGCGAGTTATTAGTATTTTGATGTTTGTTCTCTGTACCCATGGGGACCAAGTCTGCTAGATAGTGTTTAGTTACACTTTGCTTCTGAAGATGCCAACATCGTTGGCGAAAGTGTTTTGTTTTGGTGCCACAGATTCGGCTGTCAAACTCTACAGGGCCTGGAGAATGAAAAAAAAATACTTACATCTCCGTTATCGTGCTTTTCGAACTTATTGATCTGCTTCATAATATCGATCTTCTTTAGCTTGTTGACGTCGGCGAACTCCTTTTTGGCGATCGTTTCCGCGTTTCCGGTCTTGGAGAACTGCGATTTTAAGTTGGCGACGATTTTATCCGGCACGGATTCGGTATCTTTCTCCTTGTTTTCAATGTTGCGCGTGTTCTTCGTTATAACTTCGCTGTACTTCTCCAGGTAGTTCTGGCTGGTTTCGATGCGATTGTGGTGGATGAATTCAGAGTACTTTTCCTTCACTTCGGATTTTGTGGTGGTGGTGGTGTTTACACTGGCGACTGTTTCTTCGAGAGTCTGGATTTCTTTTTGGATGGTTTCTGATTCTTCCTTGATGTCTTCCAGAGGTTCTGTCACCTCTATTACTTCTTCCACGTCGTTGGTCTCGGAGAGAACCAACTCGAGATCGCGCTCGATCTTTTCGAACTCTTTTAGGGAGTCGCGGTTTTTGTTGGGGGAGTCTTGCTTTAACTCTTCTACGTTTTGGTAGATACTTTCGGGTTTTATATTCTCGTAGATGGCTTCTCCGTTGGGGAGGTTTTCGTAGATTACCTCGGGTTCAGCATCGTTTTTGGGAGAGGTATCGGGAGAGTTGGTATTTGTGCTTTCCCTCCTGAACCCCTTGAGGAAATCGATGTTCTCCTCGCTGGGTGTTAGCATGGGGCTTGTGACGGTTTGTGTAAACAGCAAACAGGACGCATCGTCGGTGCTTAGGAACATTCTGTCCTTAACCGAAGATTTTCCGTCGTGATCTGTAGTGTCGCTTTCCACGGAGGTGCTAGGGAGGTTTAAGGTGGGCAGATCTTCGTCGATGGTCTCGTAATTGTGCTCGATCTCCTCGTAATCTTCGAGGGCGATTTCCGGCCTCACCAATTGGTTTTGGTCGTTCGATTCAGTCTTTTCGGGTTGTGCGTACACTTGGTTCTCTACGCCATCCTTAACATCTACTTTGATGCCGTTTAAAGGCCGCGGGACGTCGTAGTAACTCTCGATTTCCGCCTGTATAAAATCGTCGCTCTTCTCGACTATCTTCAAAGTTTCTACGTTTTCGTACAAGGAATTCTCCATGATTTGTTCCGCTTCCGCTTCCGGTTCCGCAATTTTATCCTGCAACGTTTGGTTAGTAAAAGACACAACAACAACAAAACAGTTTAGTTTTGTTCACATTTTTACAAGTTAGCTCGACAAAAATGTAAACAAAGCAATATTATTAAGTGAGTTAGCGTGAAAAAATACCACAACGCACTTCGCTCATGCAGTTTTTTAGGCGCATATTAAATTCTTCGAGTAATGATTCTTCGAGATTGTCGTCGTCACTTACAATTCTAGATTTTTTTACGGTTTCCGCCATCTGAAACAAAAATCATTACTTAGTATTATCACGTTTTATTTTAGGTGGACAGCGCGGTCCTTATTGGTGATTTTAAGGGTTTATACAAGCATTTTAAAGTTTTGACCTGAACCATTAATGCGTGACACAGTCGAGAGGTGAAATTTTTTTCCTCTACACTGAGAAAAATGTATGTAATTTTACACAACTTTCACACTAACTGAAGTAGTAAAAAATTACAAATTTTTGGTAAAAGTACATATTTTTGTGTTTTTAAGAAGATATATGTGTGAAATTAGATAAAAAATGTAAATTTACATATTCTTATAAAAGTACATAACATATAATGTGAATTTTATAAAATTTTAAAAGTACTATGTAAAATTTACATTTAAAAGTAAATTCTACATAAAAATATTAAATATTACATATTATAGGTCACATTTACACATTTCATGTAAATATTAACCAATAGGATTTGAGCATTAAGTCACGCGATGCGGCACAAGCGTATGTAAACGAAACGAACATTTTGTTGGCTGAGTTAGGACGCGTCGTGTAGTGTTTATAGTTGTTTTTTCGTATTATTTGGTAAGTATATTAATTATAAATAAGGAGCATAAAAGAAGAAACTATGATGCCATCAATAAAATGAGATTTTCCCAATATTAATTGATATATTTTACTTAATTTTATTTAAAGAATTGCCTATTCATAAGTTATATTATTTTATTTAAATAAGTTTAATTCCAATACTATAGTATATTAAACATCTATCCAGTAAAAACAAAATATTTGGTGCTTTGATGTCAAGTGGTAAAAATGCACGTGTTTACAAATTAATATCTAGTTTAAGCAATAATTTTAGTTTAAAGAAATATTTTATTATAGGCTAATTTTACTTTTTTTTCAGATCCAAATATTTTTTATTGAATAAATATTATTTATTAGAACAAATAATAATAGGTTAGATTTTAGATTAAATAGGTAGGTATGTCTTCGCAACGTACCCAAAATCTAATATTTCCACGCCACCGTTTGAGTCAGTATGAGAAAGGTTGTTACTATGCATGTATAAAATGTTTTAATCATTTGCCAAAATGCCTTCAGATTGAAACAAAATTGTCAATATTTAAAAAAAAGCTTAAAGATTTGTTAATAAATAATATTTATTTATTTATTAAATATAGAACCATATAGTTTAGAAGAATTTCAAAATAGATCAATGAATAATTGATACAATTGTTAGTTTATCAATGCATTTATCCTTTGCTTTTGACATTTTTTTTCCATAATTGTATATGTGTGTAAACTGTAAACAATTATTTGAAAATAAATTATTATTATTATTATTAATATTATTAAAATAAATCTTAATTTCTATTAATTTTTATATAAATTTGTTATATATATTTGTTATATGTACTATATATTTGTATTTAAAAAATGTTAATTTATTATTGTTTTAAATATACAACTATTGTTAACTTACAATTTTATTTTATTTAGAAATAGATATCCCTAAAAGTTCTAACAATTTAAAAGTTATCTTTTAAAATGTAGTATTTAAACTTAAAAAATTGTCTATTTTTTGTGTATACAGTTTTTTTTTAAATACCTGTATATAGGTATTTTCAAAAAATTCAAACTGCAATAGGTATTACAAAATTTTGGGTTTATTTAACTTCTGCAATTAAATAAATTCAATATTTTGTACTAAAACTCTAATACTGAAACTGCATGCAGTTTTAGTATTAGAGTTTTAGCACACAATATTGAATTTATTTAATTGCAAAAGTTAAATAAACCCAATATTTTGTAGTATGATTCTATAGAATACAATTACACAATTTTGAAAAAATTACATATTACATGCATGTAAGTAAAATACATTATATATGTATAAAATTTACACAAAAGTGTAAATATAAATTACATCTGTCATGTACATTTTAAACAATTATGAATTATTTACAAATTTTGTGTAAACATAAATCACATATTTTATGTAAAAAAACATAGATATGTTTAAGTTACACAATCTATGTAATTTCACATCAGTTTACGAAGCTAACAAATAACCAACGACCAGTTATGTGAAAATTTTTCTCTGTGTAAGCTCACGGCAAACTTCACGGTATCGCGACCGCGACCGGCAAGGGAAAACGTGCAATTTACATTCGTTTTCTATTTTGCATTACAATGCCCGGCAAATTTTAATTATTCTCCTTCATAATACCGCTGGCGTTGTACTTAAGCAAGGGGGAGAACATGTGTGCAAATATATAGTAAGTAGGGGAATTCATTAGCTTCTAATGTAATCTTGAATTACAACTCAATAAAAATAATACAAAAGTCAATGTCATAATAGTTATTGAGATTTAGAAAAAAATGAAATCGCATTAAAAGTTTAACTTCGTAGACCTGGCATTTCGTTCGTATATTCCCAGACGAGCAGGTGAACATTAAAATCCTATAAATAGATTACGAAATGCGAATAATTCTTCCGTTTTTTTTTTGCCTTGCATTTCCTGGTGCAACTAACTACAGGGATTCAATTAAAAACTGGACACCCCTAATTACTTTTGAGTTACAGTAAAAAGGAAATATTAATCTGGTTGCCTAATTTAGTTTATTATTATTATGTTATGGTTGGTAACAACCAGCCTGTCCTGATTCTGTCAAAAAAAGTTGCCAGATTTTGTTTAAACTTAGCTTGATCACAAAAATAACAAGGGGCATAACACTTTTTTTATTTATTTTTGGTTGGTATCTATGTATTCACAGAACACAAAAGGTATTTAGTATTTTATTAATTACCCAACACCCTATATTGCTATACGACAATATTTTGACTACATACTCAAATCAATGATTAGTAATCAAAAATATAAAAACTAGTTTACATAATCGATTGTATGTTTATAAAAACAAGTTAATGCATTATAAATACCATACTTATCAGTTGGGTTTAAATGTGTCACGGAGTTTAAGTTTAATGACACCAATTTGTATGATATAATTCAAAACAATTTTGGAACCAATTGTTTTGATATTCAATCGTTATATTTTGTAGTATTGAGTATGCACTGTATATTTATTATGATTTTTGTCTACCCTGTATAATGGTTTACCTCGTAATAGCATATGATACTTCTCGGAACATATGGCAACATACCTTGTTTTAAAAGTAAAATAGGTTAATGGTAATGACCGTTCAAAAATACATTTATAAAATACTTTACTAATTTACCACTAATAAAACATTTATTTCAAAACTGCGTATTCTTAGGACATTTATCCTAAAAGTTGTATTCAGTTACAATCAGGAAATAAGTATCAAACTAAATTATCTATTTTTACTACTTTTGAAATGCATCGCGCCGAAAATAACATTGAAGAATTCGTGGAATTTTTGTGGCAGTGGATTTTGAAAATTTTTAAATGTCTAAAAATTAACTATTCATAGCAAATCCAGCATATACATACTTTGAAGCGTAAATTACCGAATAAATTAAACTTGGCGATACATTTTATTATTAAGATACATACATTATTTATGTTTTACTTTTTTTGTAGGTTGGTACGTCATTTAATTTTCACCATAAACAGTAAAATTTAATATTCAAGTAATCACAAATGCATAGGTAATTTTGCTTTTATCGCACCTACTGCAGCAGAATTGTATAAAATTTCTTTGTTATTATAGATAACACTTTTAATATGAAATAGTTAATAAACTTACGTCTGCCATTTGGTCCCTCCTTTAACGTCGCTCAAAAAATGTTCGAAAAACACTAATAAACCGCAACAACTACTTAAAATAAACAACCTAAATAAACCGCACTGTACGCGAAGAAAAAAGGTTGCGGACGATGTTTACGTTTGAATGTTCTGTGGGGAACTGTTGCAACGTAGCAGCAGCACGCTTCTAGTGGCCGGCGACTAAATTGCTTTAAGAAGGCGCCCAATATCATTAAGAGTGCTATACAGTAACGTCAAAAGTATGAAATAAATTCATTAAAAAATGTGCCTTATTTTGTGGTTTGTTGATGTTAAATACATTGCAAACTTCTTGTTGTGTTCTGGTTTTAATCAAAAAAGTTGCCAAATTTTGTTTAAATTGTTAATTAATTGTTGATTATGTCATTTTTGTAATGAAGGTAAATTCAAACAAAATCTGGCAACTTTTTTGACAGAATTCAGTGTATTTCTTTCAAATTTTAGGTTATGGGCCCAAATTGTAAATATCTTAACTAAGGGATGTATTTACACAAATTGAATGTTTAAAGTTTAACCTGTGAACTTGCCCTAATTTCATCTGAGTAAGCAGAAAGAAAAAACCGATGAAAAAAATAATTTTGTGGTTATTGAGTTAAGGGCATAAAATTTTTGTATTTGTTGAGTTTTTATTTACACCCTGTATATATTTATTCTTATTTATTTCTATAGAAATTTTACTTAATTTAATATATGCATTCAAAAATATTTATTTTCAAGAATGATAGATAATTCATTTAAACATTAAATAACATTATTTCTTTGACTCAGGTATAAATATGAGGTTTACTATTGACAAATATTGATTGATAGCTTAGTATTAAAATCTCGTTAAAATATTTAAATTGTTGTTGGTAAATTAAAATATTAATTTCTAGTTTGGTTTACAATAGAAAACAAACAAAATTATAAAAGCCATCTACATATTAGTATGTCTATGATAAAAACCTCACTAAAAAAAATTAATTTTTGTGTAGGTATGTCAAATAAGTATCTAAATTTACCACATTTTATATGATACAACGTAGCAGAGGTAAACGAACTTTCAGCTGGAAATGTTTCATTAAGAAGCATGTAAATCAAATTCTATTTGCAACACAAATAGTTATTTTGGCGCCATTTAATTCTCGACTGATTTGTTTATTCGGTTGACCATATCGCATTAATATTACAATACCACAAAATATTATTTAAGGGATATTTAAGAAAATTTAACTTCAAAGTGTTCTAAATTGCAAGAC